TTATTCCTGATTTTTCTTGATGTGCAAATTGTTTATTTAATATTTTGACATCTAATTTATTCAAATGAGGTGGGGAACAAGAGTCATACTTACGAAGTCTACTAAACTTTCTTCAAAGTGATACTGTTCTTCGAACTTACTCCCTTAGTGTACATTCTGTGCTTATTACTGATGCATCACCTGTGGGTATAGGTGCAGAGAGAATCAATGGCTGTGTTTTGGGCCGTTAGAAATTTTCATAAATATTTATTTGGAAAGGAGTTCACTATTGTTACGGATCATGAAGCTTTAAAGTTCATTTATCATCCTAAAAAATCCTTAGCACGTTCCTAAGCAGCTATGGTTCAGCGATGGAGTATTGCTTTGAGTGCATATGAATATACGGTTCAGCACATGAGTGCCGGACAAATTTAACATGTTGACTACATTTCTCGACAGTCATTACAAGATAGACCTGTTAATACTTCACACTGATTGTTAGTGCAAACTATAGTAGTGAGACGTCCAGATCTCATTAGAGAAACTCGTAGATACTTTGGTTATCTATTCAGTGTTGTACGAAGGAATTGGAATGATAGTATGAAACGTAGATTTCCTCTCTATTTTTCAAAGCGGGATGAGCTATCTACTACTCCTGATGGTATTCTGTGTTTAAATGATCGTGTTGTCATTTCTCCTTCATTGCGTAAATCTGTTCTTGAAGATCTTCATAGTGGTCATTTCGTTGTTGAGAAAATGAATTCTTTGGCAAGGCTCACATTTTGGTGGCCACAGATAAGTGCAGATATATGTCGTACGGCAAACAATTGTGAGAAATGTCATCAGTTGAAAAACCAGCCTTCGAAGTGAACGCCATCGCCAGTATGTTTTGAGGCCTAGCAGAGAATTCATGCTGACCATTGTGGTCCGTATCTTGGCAAATACTATCCATTAGTAGTTATTGGTCCTTTTGCAAAGTAGCTTGAAGTTTTTCCCACAACTTCATCAAATTCTGATTTCACAATCCAAGCATTAAGAAAGGTGTTTAGTCGAGAAAGGGTTACTATAGTGTTAGTGACCGATAATAGGACATTAAAGACTGCCATTGGTTCTATTGCCGCCTCAACATTTAATGAGCTGGAGAGAGGAGTAGATACCATTCTGTTGCAATATAGAAATGCCAGACATTCGGTGACGAAAGAGGCTCAGCCGAAGCTAGTGAAAGGAAAAATTCTTCGATCGAATATGAGATGTTTGGAGTCTGCAGATGTTACATATTATCGAGGAAATGATCTTCGACCATCTACGGGGATTGCTCTGAAGAATGTTGGGAAATCGATGGTGCGAATTCTAGATATCAATGACTTAAGTACACACAATCGTCATGTTGATCAAATACAATTTCAGGCAATAGGTGAGTCAGTTCCAGTTTCGATTGATAATTCTAATGGTAATAAGTACATACTAGACAATACAGAGTCCTTATCCAATACACTGTCCGACAGACACGGGATGAACTTGAAAAGAAGACGTACAATTGCTTGCAGACACCTAGACTTCATTTTAAGCTGTGGCAGATACGGTGTTTGAATGAACTAATGATCAATTTGTACTTGTTGCATGCTTGGTTTCGAATTCTAAATACATTGGTTATCTAGTAGTTCTTGATCCGATTACGTTATTTACGGGTTCCTACTTCATACTATATTTTGAATACTTATAAATATTACAAGTTTCCAGCTGCACTCTATAATTGCGCTTCGTGGTCTCTTTCTGTAGTTCGAGTAATAAGTCTTTAACTTTCCGGTCATCTTATCACACCATTTTATGAGACATTGCTCTCTCTCCACACTCAAGGCCAGCATACTGCACATGACTAAGTAGTGACTTCTTGAGAGGCTCATGTGTCAATGAAATTGGTTTCTCTGGAGAAGCCAGATTCTTTAGTAGGTTAAATGCTTCTTTGTCAATGAATGTCAGGAAATAAGCTGCGAACTAATCATCTTTAATATCCTTTCTAGTCATGCAACAGATTTCGAACTGCTCCCTGCAATCTTCAGAGATATCCCCACTTGAATTAATATCCATCTGCTCAAGATTCAACTTAATCGCGACGCCAGTATGATAATTAGAAGTTTTCGAACTAATGTGATAAGTGGGAACTTCCAACATAATGCAGTCTAATCCAGATATAACTAGATGAGCATGACTGAACGCATTATATTTGAAACTCGTGTAAAAGCGCAATCAAGTAAAAACGAACTATCAGTTAGTACAAATACCACACAACAGTTAGATTATTGAAATTGTTAATAACAGACATGATTTAAATGTGTAGTTTCACCATCATCATCGGAAAATACTGCACATATACTGTTAACAAATCCTTCCGATATTCACAACAGTGTAAACTGCTTAGGGAAGATAAATTTATGAAATGAATGAAGGTTGACAATATAGTATGCAGATCACTAACGTATGATCTGTCTCGAGTGATTGGGGCCTACTCAAGTTAGACGGGAATGATATGAGCAATCAGTCAACGTCGAAGTCATACCTCGTGGTTAGCACCCAATGCAGATCACCCCTTCGTCGCATCCAGGTACTATGGCTGGTTTAATGACCTTACAACATAAACGACGTTATTGCCGAAATATATTGGTAAGAGTATGTACAATTAACAAAGTGAAACCACTGTTGCGCGAACCGATCCATAGTAAGCAACTAATTGGTGAGCGTTGGTCGTCTGTAGCGTGGCGTCGAGTTGAGGTTAACTATGAACACCGCTACCAAGAAACACGTGCCAAGCGAATCAGAAGGCGAGGGTTGGACGTAACCAAATAGATCCATAAAATCCCCGAGAAGCCGAATACCAGAAGGCAATTAATGGACCAAGTTGAGGTTTATTTGCTGGCGATCTCGTGGCATCGAAAGGATACCGAGATCGTGCCAGGATACAACCTTGGTTACAGAAGGTAACCGAATTCGCGCGAAGTTACAATCGAAGTGTAAGTATAAGAATGGAAGCACAAAATAGCTGTCATTAGCACAGTCAAACAAAAGCACGTTAAAACAAACACTGGTACAGTTGGTTATAATAATAATTGTTTTTATTAAACCAGTCGTGTTCTCGTGATAAACGTGAGTCACTACACGTCCGTGACGAGGGTCGATGAACCACTCGCCATTCAATGACCCAACTGCTGGATGATTTGGCTAGGGTTCAGTGACATTTCACTCGCCCTACAAATATAACTAGGTATAAATGAACACCAAAAGTATTCCTAACATTTTAGTAATTACACACACTAAGAAAAGACTTGACTGTCTTAATCTTACGTAGTTAAGAGCCATCCTACTAGGCTTTATGAGAGTGGGTTTTGGATGAGCTTGACATTAACAACTTTGAAATGGTTTCCATTTGTTAGCTTCAGCCAAAGTAGTTTTTATCAGATTTATTTGATACAGTTAAACCTTTAATGTACACTATCAGACCTACACCTCAACGGGAAAACAGAAAATCTAACAAATTGGTGAAACATACAGTAACACTTAAATCCAATTCTTTAAATTACAGGTGATTAAGGATTAAAAATGCACTAACTTAGAATATTTCAATTGGACCATTCATCCGTTTAAATACTTAAAGAAGTTTAGTTTTAACATTTATGTTTGGGCACTTAGAATACGATTATAGATAGTTTAATTATAAGCATCAATGAGGAGCCATATCATGGATCGCACTCCAAACGGATGTTTATCAAACAGCCTTAATATCATATACTTGATACATACTTAAAATCTCAGCGATGAGAGTATGCACTGATTTACCGAAAGTTTGGTCTACAACATTTACTGGATGAATTCAAATCTTTTCCAGAATGTAGTAGCAACCTATCTCAGGGATATGTGGAGATAAGTCAACTAAAAGATTTTAATATTTTGGTAATAATAATTTTAAATCACATAACAGTATCATATGTCATAATTTATTCGTACAGCGGTTTTATCAGATTAATAACAAAGATCATCTTTATCGTCCACCAATTAGTTCATGAAACTATTCCAAACCAACTAGGGCAGTCAACTTCTTACTATTTATTTAATTCATGTAAACAACAATCACCTCCAACTTCCAAAAAACTATGACTCATAATTCAACTTATTATAAAACCTCAAAAGATAAATCTATTGATGAATGATCAGCGAAACTTAATCAATGGGCTACAAGTTCGAATACCATTGCTCCTATAATGAATTCGATAATCAAGTCATTACGCTAGCTATCACGAGCTTCCGCTTGGAACCAATCAAACGAACCTGTACCCGATGAGTGATTAGCAAATAGAAAAATCAATTCGTCTCCGAAACTGGGCGTGAGTAAACAAAACGAAATGACAGAATGGGTTGCGGTTTTTGTATTATATTGAAATCACGAGCCAATCTACCCTTAAACAACCATAGAAGACTTAGAATCACCACAGTAAAGTGACTACTATTTTCACTAAGTGTACCAGTTTCAGAAAGAAATTCTCGAATTTTAATACGATTTCTGTGATTGTAGTGGCCGTTTATAGCATTATAAGTTAACAACCATTTGTCACTGAGTTTATAAGTCATATAGTAGTCTTAATTTGATGTGTACTAATACACAGAGTGGCACCATAATTGATTCATTGTAGTCCTGTGAAAGATGAATGCGACAAAAAAAGGGTTCTTTGTGGACGAACAAAAACAGACTGCAGCGAACGAATGCAATAGTATATGATTATATAGGCAGATAAGCATATGTGTGTATATATTGTATTTTACATTCAATATATATATATATATATATATATATATAGTATATTGTTAATATAAAGGTAAACCTTATAACCATATTACTCTGGGAAAGTTATACCGACCCTCGTAATGATCCGATAAGAAATATCAGAATCAACATTTATTATCCATGTTCACTTGAATTAACAGGGGAAATGAATAGATAGTAGAGTCAACTTACATAACAGCATATTGTCATGGAATATATAGGTAACTTGGTCAGCAAATATCCAGTTAGGGTTACAATTTAATATTAAGGATAAGGATTAGTAGTTAGGGTTGGGGTTTAAATCACCAACTAACATCAGCTTTAACTCCTAGGTAATAATATCGATACCCTGATCGTAATTCTTAGCATAAAAAGCTATGTGATTACTTTGTGTGTAGTCCGATTGGCTAAAAAGACGCTTACATCGTTTGGATGTATATTTGACCCCTACCACCGCCTGTTATATCCGTAGACGAACATGAAATAGGTTGTATATCGCGTGTTAGTTGCATGAAAATCGATAGATTCCGTTGTTGAAATATGGTGCAGATATATGGTGCAGATATTGAAAAATTAGACGCCATATAACTTTAGTTACTAATGGTTAACCAAAGGGATAGAATTTAGCTGGTTGACTAAATTATCTATGAAGCTTTCGGCTCAGATTTTGAACATTTTCGACATCCGTGTATTATGGTTAATGCTACTAATCCCACTTATCATAGTCCCTTTTGATTTGTTCATTGTTTATTGATTTCCAAACTTTCGTCGAAATAGTGATTGTCACAATTTTGTCGCATGTCAGACAACTTGAAAGTAGAATGTTTCGAGAACATTCAAACATTTATCTTTTGAGTATATGTTTCTTTTCTCTGTACCGTTTGGTTGTGCACACAATTCATTTTCCTTTATTTCATACTGATAAAAAATAGATCATAAGTGTAAAACGTCGTAGTCACTGGAAAATGTCCCATACATCTCAGCCAGTGGACCATTGGTGTCACTTTCATCCCTGTCTTATGTACTGAATAATATTGGAGCTTCCTAACGACCAACATCTCGCCATTGCTAGTAACTGATAAATCAGTCTCTAGAAAGTGGAAGAGTTTGATGTGCATGGGCTCCTTCCGTTTCAAGGATAGTTAGACCTAATTATTAATCTTCATAAGATAAAATCAAAACTTGACTTGTAATTTCATGAAACGTCTTGAGCGGAAATGTCAATGGATAATACACACATTGTACCCGAAAACACTACACATGAGACTCAAGTGACCTTCAACCAAATTGTAGGATCTCATGACATTGTCTGTTTTACTATCGCCTACGATGACGTTTTTAAAAATTGCTATATATATTTCTGTTTTAATAGTAATTGATACTGCTTTTTGAACTTATACTTTTATGTGATGTTCATATAATCTTGGGTCAATGAATTTTGAATTTCTTTTCCTAAACTTATCTGTTCATTATAGGTAAACGTTTAACTTGAGATACATCAGTGTAATGTAGGACTTTTTTTCGCCCTATTTGATTCTTATCAGTTTTATTTGTCTGCTGTAACTTAAATTGAGGGATATTGCAATGTTTCATACATATGGCATTCGAATTATTCACAACGCTGTGCATTAGTTTGGCTAGATATTTGAGGCATGCCCAGCTTTATATTTTATTTAAAAATATCTGCACTGTTTTGGGTATTTAATATTCGACGAAGGTAACGGTGGCCTGCTTGAATATCTGGGCTACCTGTTTCTGCCATCTAATTATTTCAACAAGTTATCTGTTTTTTCATTAATCGCATAGCCTATGCGGGCGCTTTTATGAAAAGCCTGCGACCTTTCGCTGCACAAGTTACAAAATGTACTATAAAAGACATCGTGGTCGTTGGCAATATGCATTAAAAAGAATGAAAATTAATCATATGTCGATTCTAGAGCTTCTAAATTCTAACTGCCGATCACTAATCAACAAAGTGGACTATCTGCGACTCTTACTATGTCAAAATATGTATCGTAATTGTGATGTCATCGCAATTCAAGAATCTTGGTTAAATAATTTACAGGATGACTGCCTAGAATCACTACGTGATTTCAAAATTTATCCTCAGGATCGATCAAACAATAAAAAAAGGTGTGGGGGCGGTGTAGCTACGTTTGTAAACATAACCTGGTGTCGATCTTCGTTTGTGTGTTTTAAGTTTTCAAATGACTTTATTGACTGTATAACTTTAAGATGTCGCCCAAAACATCTGAATAAATACAAATATGTTCATGTTACTAATATCTACGTGACTCCAGACTGAACATCATCTGCTCTATCTGGTTTCGCTGATGAATTCACTGATTTCGCTGTTTCTGCCTCCAGCCATTCACTTTCAGTTGTGTGTGGTGATTTCAATTCATATGACTGTAGCTTCCTTACGTCGCTAGGTCACCAAAAACGTAGTAGATTTTCCTACTCGTTTGGATGCTCATTTAGACTTCGTTTTAATTATTGATATAGGTATACATGCGACTCGTAAACGTGCTCCATTGTCTAGCTCGGATCACTGTATAATTCGTGTTCTACCTAAAGTATATGGAAAACATGGGAAGAGTACACTCTTACATCAAACCAAGAAAGTCAAATATAGGAATTACTCAGAAGAAAATATCCGAAATCTGAAGAACATGTTTCAAACGACTAACTGGGAATTATTTACAGATGACTCACTGCAAATCACTACTGATGTTATCACTTGTTACCTTAAATTCTTTTTTGATATTTGTTGTCCCACTGAAACCATTTTTGTAAGTTTTGATCGACTAACATCTTCACAAGTAAAAGGACTACGCAGGGTGAAAGAAAGAATGTACAAGGATAAAAACTGTAATGAAGTTCGTAAGCTAAATGGTCTGATAAACCTAGAGATTAAACGTCTCAACACTATATTTACTCAAAAACTCTTGTCTTGCAAAATCTCTCCAAGTATATGCAAACTCTTTAAAGAACTTACAGGTGACAGACAGTTTAGGAGCGAAAACCAGCTAAATATTTGTGACTTAAATAAGTCTTTTGTACGTCAGTCATCTGATGTGATGCTCCCTTTACCCACAGGTTAAAAGAACAGCTGTGTTCCTAGTTTCACTGAAACTGATGCTCGAAAATGTCTCCAGTCGCTTAATTCCTCCCGATGTTTGGGACCTGATGGTATCCCAATAAGCTGCATTCTTAACATGTTTTTAATTTGAAAGGTTGTAGAGTTTTTCTTTTTTTAAAGCCTTTTTTTCCTTTTTTTGCCTAAGTAACTTGTTGAAATACTCTGTGCTGAGAATTCTATATTGTACCAAAATATGATACTGAATAAAGCCATTAATAATAATAATAAAGAATGACGGTAAACTCATAGTCTTTTCACTCTAATCCGATAGCTGGACTATCTTCCTTGTTTGTCAAGAGTGGTTTTGTTTAGGCAACCCAGGTATTTTAACTTAGAAAATGAATATAAAATGATGTTGTGCATGACATGATCATGCCACTGAACTTCAGGACCTATCTTCATTGTTTCATTATTGCGATAGCAGTGTAACAACTAGCATTAAGTAAGTCTTTATTTATCTTGAATAACATTGTGCTGTGTAGCGTTTGGAAATCGGGAATGGTGGAACGAATAAATGTATGTGATTCCACTACTAAAAAAAGTTGATACAAACCATCTTAGTAGTGTCAGAACAAAACTCACGTATTTATTTACTTCCTTATCTTCAGTAAGTATTGTATTACTATACTGAATGTTGATTGCTTTGTGTTTGAAAAAGGGAAACTTGCGCTTCGACTCTCCTATTACACTATCTTAACAAAAGCCTATTCCAACTACTGATCTCACCTCTTCTATAGATAAAATGAGATGTGTGTAATGACACTAAAATAAATAAGTAATAGCCGGTAAAAAAGCACAAAAAAATATCATCATAAAAGGAAGACTGTTTTCCCAATAAATTCTCATATTGTTTTGAGTAAAGTCAAGGAGGTAATAGATGAAGCCATTTAGCAATTGAATGAGCTTTCAGTAAAGCTTGTTTCGATCTATGAGGTGAGGAAGTGAAATAGAACATATGATTCGAATTTTGTAAAATACTGAAGATATGTTACATTAGTTCAAGTGCCCCTTACGTACGCAAATGGATAATGAAGATAAAAACTGAGATACTCACAAAATTATGAAAGATCATACAGATGGATTTATTGTTAAATTGAATTTTAAATTTTTTAATTTCATCATTACTGTCTGTTACTTGAACTATTAATAACCCGCGGTTTTTCGATTACTTAGTATGCACATAAATCATGATTTATTCTGGATTTTAATAAAGCCTCATTGACTGCTGAAATCCCGGTTTCACCTCATGTAAGTTAGATGTGTTCATTTTATTGATATCTGTAGCGTCTTGACATGTGTCAAAATAACTCAAAGTAACTCAAAACGTCAGGTTATATATATTGCTCGATGTTTTGAGTTTAGTGTCTCTATGTGACTAACTTGGAACAATAATAAAACGTCTGCATCACATGCGTTGAGAAGAAAGCTCTATGGCCATTAACTCACCCACGGATTATCATCATTCGGCTGGAATTTTCTTGTCGAAATATATATATTCATATACCTTTTGACACGATGTGAGATCATCTTTCAACTCTTTATTTTCACTTATTTTGTATCTTGGTGTATATGAGTTTTTTATACTTATCCAAATATACATTTTGTATCTGCTGCAGTTGATTTATTTCCTGTAAATCCATCTACCCATGGGTCAATAGAGATCTCTGTTCAAACAATTGTTTCTTGATTTTCAATCTTGAACTCATGTGGCTCTTTTAACCTACATTCTTACTTTACAGTCTCTATATTGCGACCGAACACTTGACATCTTTGTAACATGATGGTTCGTGGTCCTGACAATCTTATTGCTTTGGGACAAATTCATTCATTTCTACATAAATCTAGTAACCTACATGTAACTGTCAAATGTGCTAAGACTAGTGCGGCCAGATGTATAAGTAACTTTTTTCATAGGCTACCAAGATTCCATGGGGTGCCTTGACACTGGGAGGCGAGCAGAGAAAAGTCATTTGATTTACAGTAACTCATCAAAAAGATGTCTATCAAATCATTCTTATCGTCTAGGAAACGCTTAATTCCTCTTATGCTATTTCATATTTGTAATTGTTGTAATCAGGCTCAGTGTTAGCTTTAAAAGTTCAGTTTTAACTTTTCTCCAGGTAGCGTGTTCAATAAACAATTCCTTACGATCCATGTGTTATTTTATAGACCAAAACGGTATACGGCATGATATTCCTCTTCTTTTTAGTGTCTCGACAGTTAGATGTATGGCCAAAACTCCTTTCAAATTTACAAACGCGGCATATAGAGGAAAATTTAGCATTATAAATAAAATTTTATTATTTGTTTGTATTCTATCCGTCAGAATTAGCACAAATGAGAAACATTTTTGATCAAAATAAAGTTTTGTCCCATCAGACTAGAAAACAGTGCATCAGAGGGAATGCGTGATATCCTAGTATTGATTTTGAAAATTAGATTGAATCATATCCTCTGAACAATACTACGGAGAGTTTGGATGTAACCGTACTTTGTTAACTTTGATATAATAAAAAATGGTTCATGAATTATTAGTTGGTAGCCTCGGGCAGTAAATTGATTTACTTAGTTTGATAGCAATATAATTTAAGTCATTATATACAGAGGACAGAACTTTCTCTGAATGCCTCATCTTCAGTCAAAGCAATTAAGTCCACTTTTTTTAAACATTAATTAGATCTCTAATTTGTTTCGTGATAAGATGTTATAGTGATAAAAATGAGCATAACAAGATATCTAACAAATTATTTTGATGTAAATGCTACATGAATTTGCATCTTTTTAGAATGTGAAATATGTTTGAATGTTTAGAAACGTCATACGCTTTTCAATATTAATAGTCTGGTATAAATGTTTTTACAATCATCTGTTATTGGTTGGCTGAGTGCTGTCATCTCCTTGTACTTACGTTTTTCATCCTGTTCTTAGATACTTGAAAATAATCGTGTGGTTTTTGATCCACAGGAACGTTTTTAAGGCATAGGTAGTTTTTCATATCTAAACGAGTTGCCTCAATCGTGTTTTCTAACTTTTCACTACGTTATGCATTTTAAGATTTTCTACCACGAACTGCGGACATCATAGGGCTATTACAAAAATTTAAATGCTGTAGCTTTCACGTTGTTTACGTCATTAGATTTGGGAGCTTCAAACTAAATTACTGATGCTTTCAATATGAAATTAGCTTTTTATCACTATTCCAAACCTATAGAAACTGAATGACTGTTTCGTTTGAGTCTAATACTTCTCATTAAGTATTATTATTACCTATATAGTTCAAAATGTATCAAGGCCTGAACAAGGTGGTTAATTAAATTTATGTGTATTTTCGTATTTGCAAGATTTTATGCACTGTCAGTTGTTGCCAGACAAAGATTATAAGTATTTCATAGTTATTGGTAGCAAAGTCAAAGACAATGTTGAATTATTGTCAGCAAGATTAGGTGAACAATAAGTACAAAATATTGCTTCTCTACTAATAATAGTTACTTTGATGCATTATTTTTGAAAGAGAATATTATTTTTACACGAAATTCAGATGTATATCTAGTCTACATTTATTATTATTAATATGTGTAAGTAATGAGTTTATTAACCGATAATAACAAGTTAATTTGTTTCACTAGACGTTTCAAAATAAACTATTGTATTTTTTTTCTGTGAAGGACATTGCAAAGTAATTATTTTTTATAATTCCAGACTATGTTGTGAAGAAAGCCGTTTAATGATGTTTCTCAACGGAAAATATTTCAGATTTAAATATTTACTGAATGTAAAGCATAGTTTAGTAATATAAAGTATTTTTGTAATGCCTAATTAATTAATAATCTTAGAAATGAGATGTGAATTTAGATTTTAAAATAATTACTTCAATTAATCTGTTCATCGTAGAAGTTCTGTGAAAGATTATCAGAACATAAGCAAGTAGTCTAAGACTATTTTGTTACAAATCAAGACTGGTGAACTCTGCACATCCACAAACTCACATACTACTTTAAACACCAGATCATCATTTTCTATAGTAAGAATGGGACTGAAACGAGATCCAGTGGTTCATACGACTCAAGTTGGGTTTTATACCTTAATTATATTCATTTTATTATTTCATTGTCAACAGTGATCAACCTAACCGATCACTTTTACATTAGAATTTTGTGAAACTCTCGAAATTAGTTGATGGTGAACATAAGACTAATTACTTTGGTGTTACTTTGAGTTAGAGGGTTTCGTCTAGTTTAAAAAATAGGTCTTTCTCAAAAATTGACATTAATTGTCGATGAACTTCCTAATTTACAATGCTTCTTTAGTTTATAACAATAAATAAATTATTATTTGGTATTCCTATTTTTCTTCGCTTAAAAAATTTCTGTACGGTAACTTGCACAAATATATTTAGAAAAACAACTTCGTCAAGAAAAAAAGATTTGAAATTGAACTTTCAAACAAAATAGTGAAAAAAACTAATGATGATGTTTTAAGCAGATGAAAAATGAATTTGTTTGCTTTCAGATGATTATTTCTGAGATAATTTGTGTGAAATATGTTATCACTGATTCAGAGCGTCTTATACACACAAATTATTCTTGTCAATGTGTCCAACCAATAAATGTAGGAACACATGATAGCTTAGAGTACTCTGGATTTACTAATATATATATTAGACGATTTCCGCTTAAATTTGTATCTTTAATTTTCAGCGATTTATTGAAATGGTGATTTGTGAATCTTTCAATATTTACTTATCATTCGTTTCTATATTCTGGTCATTCTTATTTTCACCACATATCTATGGTTATTTAATTGGAGCCGGAATATATGACATAACTGGCCCAATAACCGATATCAATATGGTAAGAATAGATTAATTGGCACTTTATTATCATCCGAGTTTATTATAAATCATATTCTATTTCTAATATAAGCTGTATCTGCCTTTGTGAAGTGAGTAAAGTAAAAAAGTTGAGAGGTTAAAATCATTTTGATAAATTGATGAAATCCCGATAAGTCCGTTCAAGGAAAATTCAATCATTTCAAGGACAATTTTTAGCCTAAAATTGATATCGGCTTCAGCGTTGTTAGAAACAAGAAAACACTGAACATATATCTCTAAATTGTTTGTGATTCATGAGTACTAATCTCTCTAGATTCTACATTAGATCAGATTTAGTGATACAAGCAGCTCAGTACTGTGAATTTACTGAATATTAATCGGATGTTTAGCGTTTTGCAGCATTAACCCATTCAGTTTATAGTTTAACCATTATCTGTGAAGATTTTCTAGGCTTAAAAAGAGTGACTAAATCCGCAGATAACGTCTGTATGTTCAAATGTAAGCAGTGTATGAGACCCTGGACAGTCATCTACTTATATGAATCATTTATTTAAATTGAAGAATATGTACATTACAGTCATGGCAGAAGTAAAATACTGATATCATTCAGTCGTTAAAAATTCACTGTTTTAATGACAATATTGAGTTACAGAACAAAGGTTATGGTTAACTCATTGATCTGGATAGAAATCAGAACCCAAAATTTCTAGTTTTGATCCCCTAACGAAGTAGTAGATGAACACTACGGAAGAGTCCCATACTAGGAAATCACAATCATTTGTGCTTCCTAATTCGCAGATTGAGAATTCCATGCTATTAAAAATAGATATTGAGTGGTATACTATATTAAAAGCAATGTTTCAATAATTTTCTCTTTCACTTAAAATACAAGCTTAATTAATTATCACGAATTATATTGTTCTTTAATGATATAATGATAGTAATACAAAGAAGATAGCCTTGGATATTCGTATAAAGAGAAATTTCTAGCATTTTGTTTTCACTTGTTTCTAGATCATTATATCTTTTTTTTTTAAAAAAAAACAAGTTTATCACAATCCAATCATCAACTTGTTACTGATCACAATCAATTACTCTTAACTTTATAAGCATATTCTGTGATTGTTACTTCTCTCTCTTTTCTTTTTATCAAATATGAATTATATTTATAATCTTTTATAATCAAATATGTTTTTGTTTTAATAGAAGACACTATTTATTTAAAAAAATCATTAATGAGTTTAATGAAAATTCTGAGAATATAGGTGTATGAAGTTAGAAGATAATTTCATCTATTGTATAGTTCGTTTACATAATAACTTCGACAGAATCAAGAATACAATGTAGATTTAAATGCTACTGGGTCATCTATCATATCTGAAAACTATTTCATTTATTATTATAATTATCATTATTATTATTGTGATTATTACTAATGTTTCTCTTCTATTTACCTTCTTTTTTTTAGATGGGCTATGGTAATATGAAACAAAATGATAATGGACTTCATTTAAGATTATTTAGTCGTGCATTTATTATTCAAGAGAATTCTAGTTCACAACCAATTGTCATTGTTATAATAGATGCTGGTATGGTATCACAAGCCGTTAAAATTAAAGTATGTCTATATATATGATAAATTTTATAAAAATAATAAATATTGGAAATCAATACATTGTGATTAACTTGGCTGAAATTGTAAAAGTTTGTTTTCGAACCTTTTGTTGATATTTAGAACCTATAGGACAAAGTAGTAGACATAATAGTTTTATAGACAGCACGTTAGCATTCGAAGCAAAAGATGCTAAAGATAAATTTCAGTATAAATGTCAACACTGGAATGAAATCACATTTCGATAGTGAGTTTTATATAGGATTCAAAAAGATTTCTTAGTTTCTACAACTAGTCATGTACCAAATATTATAAAAAAATCATTTGTTTATATTGGTTTGAAACGGTTATAGTCAAAAATTTCTCTCAAATAATGGATTATAATAATTTTAAGTCAAAAACATATTTTTACAATGTTGACCAGTAAACTAGATTCCCTTTGTTAATTTTTATAGAATAGCATGGTTTGAATAGAGTAATCTGGACTGTTTTTTATTTCGTTAAGTATAAGTTAACCATTTACAATCTGTTTTATGTAAATACCAAATTTAGATTAGATAATTTGTTAATGTAAAATTGTTCTTCATTACATTGGTACTTCCATTTGTAAGTAACTATAATGACAATCTAACAAAATCAAATGAATTCACATTATTCTATTCTTTTGAATTTATCGAATGTTTGGTCACTTAGATTGAAAATATAGTTAATTTTCTCGGTCAATGGATCACTTTTTGGATAAATGAAGATGAGAAAGATAAATTCATTTAAATTTAATTTTCATAGTATTCTTAATCCTATCCTGTATGCTTTCTTCAAATGATTAATTTTGTACTTTTTGCTTTAATAATTGGAAAATTATGCAAAAATGCTTCTTCGGCATTATTATGATAATCTTAATATTGTAGAAAATGATCTAGATCATTTTTAACTTAAGGAGGTTGTGAGAATTGTTGAATTTCATATTGTACTTCACGAACTGCTTCTAGATACTTACTTACGCCTGTTACTCCTCGTGAAGGTGCAGAGGCCACCCATCAGCTTGAAAGTCCTAGGTTGGATGCCTGTTGGAACTATGGGTTCACACCGCTGTAGAGTTTCATACCAGCACGAGACAGCCATCCAAATCTCTCTGGTTTTCACTGATTGTTTAACTAGAATCCTTCCGCGCTGTAAACCATAGGGTATCTTACTTGTTGCTATACAACAAAAAATTAGAAGTTTTTTGGTCTAGTTTACTGTCCAGTTATTTCTAAGGTTCTATATCATTAGTTTTGGGACCTCCCAGGAATTTCCAATATAATCGACCTATTTCTACCGTGCTTTTTTAGGTTTAGATGTGATCTTTTCTCATTTGGAATAAATACATATTTCCTTACTATTTATTGCTTTGTTGGCTGGATCACTTAATATTTTGACGTATGTTCCCTCAATGAACAGATACTCCATACCGGTTTCTCGGAAATATAGATCCTTTTTAAATCTTCAAACTTTATAAATGCTAACATTGCAATATAAGCAATTTTCGAAATACATTCACTACATACAACATAGCAATGAAATCGTAAACCATTATCGGAAGGTTGTCATTAAAAAATAATATTCAAATCAGTTCATTATCATTTATTTAATTATCAACGCTCATTTAAGTATTCAATTTTTGAACTATGTGTAAAACTACAATGTTATCTGTAGTAGATCATTCTCAAATTATAGAGCTTTATTTTTTAAAATAATGCTATGCTCCACAATCCGTCACTTATTTATTTCGAGTTTCTGGTTTAGTAATTTCAATCATGAATAAAAGTTCCAGATTAAGCTGTAACCTAGAAAGTTATAGAATCACAAATGAAGTTACCGATAAAATTGAATAAAGGATCCAGATGTACTGCAAGTGAATTGAAGTTAAAAACATGCTCTAAGTAAAATATGTTAGCTGTTAGTTCGATTCTGTAAGAGGAAGGGTCACTGTGTTGAATTTTCAAATCACGATAATAATACCGTTCAGTATTCACTAATTTTCCAAAGGGACCCACCTAGCACTAATTCATGATGAAAATCGTTTTTACATTTCGTACTTTTTAATCTGTCCGTTTATTTTCACATTGATTCTAACCATTTCAATGAATCATTTGTCTCTTTCTCAAACAAAAAAAATCGATTTTAGGTCATCGATAATTTGAAAAGTCGATACGATAATGGGTTATTTACACATCAAAATGTTTTAATTAGTGCAACACATACTCATTCCGGTCCTGCTGGTTATTTACAATATGTTCTATATTCATTTACGTCTCTTGGATACGTTCCTGAAACATTTCAACCATTAGTTGAAGGAATTGTTAAGGTATATAAAAAATACTTTTATCTTTAATCATATGTAGGGGGTTGTGGAGATTGTAGTAAGTTAATAGTTGAACTCGTGAGCCGATTAAAGCCAGACCACCATTGTCAACCTGTAAGCAATGGACGGTCGTTTCGTTCTAGTATGGGACTCAGCAGTGCGTATCCACGATCCCGCACGCGAGACTCAAATTCAGGACTTTCGATCTCGCGCGCAAACGCTGAACCTGTAGACCACTGAGCCAGCATCTAACGGTGTTAATGTCTAATTTCAACCAATCCAAGATATTGCGCCACCGTCCATCATTGCCTTCAGTGAGTAAATGCCTCACAAACAAATATCTTTTTAAGAGCTATCTTTAAACGTCTGATACAATAATGTCTTATCAATTAATTGATGAGGATAATTAATTAAGTTGATTGAAGACGGTCGTCAAAAAGCCTAGGCAGAGTTAGGCTTCGTGCTTGTTGATTTCCATCAGTATGAGATATCTGTAGTTTCGTTGAGAGTGATGCTTCCCATGGATTCAACTCGCACAGGGAATATTACTTCTTTTATGAATGCAGGTGTGTTTTACTAACACATACCAGCTAGCACAAAACCTCGATGTAGAGGTTCCTTACAATTGTTCCCAGTCACCCAGTAGTCATGCAAAGTTCACATGGTTCTAAGTCACTTAGACTGGTAAACACGTTACAACTGAATCAACGTAATTTAATTAGCACTAAGGACTAGGTCATTATGACAGTGATTGATACTCAGTGGTCAATCGATGTACATAATTATTATATTTGTGTAACACGTTTGATAGAGCCCATGAACATAAATGAAATAAATGTGCACTTACAGCTCAAACCTATGAAATTATCAATACAAAAATACTTGAACAATAAAAGTAGTAATGGTATCAGTGATAAATAAAACATTAGGCATGGAAAATATAACTTGCGAAACAAAAAGGTATAGTTTTGAAATCCAAGATCTAAGGAAAAGCAAAGAGTGAATGGATTTAAGCCATGTCACCCAACATTGATTGTGTACAACGCAATCAAGTACTTTGCAACCGCATACACTGCTCAAGCAACGTGTATAGTATTTATTGGACATCAGTTATTAATGAACTTGCAAATTTATGTTTTTTAATATTCAGAAATATGTTGAATCCACATATAAATCATAAGGAGAATCGTTGATTTATTATCGTGTTTAGTAAAATCATTTCCCAATAAGTTCCATGTCGGCTGTATCATGTACCCAGTGAGACATTAGAATCAGAATCATAGTTGTAGTCATCTATGACTTTAACTATATTGTCGAAATAAGGCCCAATATAAGGCCTAGAAACATTAAAATGCATCTAACCCTACTTGTGAGATCGCTATCATGATCATTAGTTTCATCCCAAATAGAACGAAATTCTCTTTCTGGGTTCCATTACTAGCGACCACAACTCAAATCTAGCAAAATGAAGATATTATTTTTAAAATTATATTATGAAAACATTTATTTACCTGTTTATTTGATGTAATGCAATTTTAAACTAAAGCAATTGAAATTTGTGGCCTGTATTTACATTTTATTCGGGTGGATTTTTTTTCAGAGTATTGATTTAGCTTATTCTAATATGAAAGAAGGAAAAATATTAAAAGCTGAAGGAGATTTACATAATGCTAGTATCAATCGTAGTCCAGCGGCTTATTTAAAGAATCCAGTAGAAGAACAAGCTCGGTGAGTTTCCATTACTTTTATATTGTGTAACGGGTTCTCGTTTATGACTAGACTCCATTAGTTAGCCATGCGTTGCATTCATTATAATTGGGCTAGACTTGGTACTATAATTTTAATTAATCATAATAAACAAAATAACTAGGTCAGTTAGAATCTTCTCTCTTTCGATTTTAGTTATTAACTATCGACCGAACTATATCATGATCTGATTGGCTGGATAAGTAAACATATCATATTTTATAATTTACAGAGTTTGATCACCACTGAAGGCTAGCGGAACGGAATGTCGATTTTTAGGAAGAATATTGGGAAATAAAAACCTTAATAATATTTTTATTGATTCAATGATATATCTTTGTCCGTTTGTGTGTGACTTATCTTCGTTATTGTTACAAATCTATCTTTCAGGTAACTGTCGACAAACACTTAAACTAAACAAGGTGGCTTGTTTAGATTGTCATTATCTACATAAGCTTACGTGCAGAACATATCATCTCCATAGAATCAATCAGTTTACGTAGCTTACAATGTGAAGGTTAACTTATTTAGATCTTACCAACACTTTTATATGTCGGAGTAGGTAATGTTATTCACCAGTTTAAGCTTTGCTAGATGAAGCGACAGTGAAGCCACTTATTAAATCATAATAGGTTTATGCAAATAAATACTGATACAGTATAATTACTTTGTGAACGATCAATTCCAAGTAATTTGAATTTAATATTTTGAGACATTGAAAAATCACGATTCGACCTAAGTTAGATCACCATTGAAAATCTATAAGCATTGGATGGCCGGTTCGCATGCGAGATCTTCAACACGCACTTTTGAGGAGTCTCATACTAGGACCAAAAACACGATCCAATGCTTTCAGGTTATCGATAATGGTCTAAGTTAGATCAATTCGTGATTTTAACTGTGAAAATACTACAGTCTCCACAAACCCCCATATTGATAACATATTAAATTAATGCGAAATGAATAAACGGCAATAATAGCCTCTAAAAAATGTTAATTGATTTTTATTTCTATCATAGAGTATAGATAATCTATGATAAATATATCAATTTCTTATATCATTCAAGAAAGAACATGCATAAACACTTCTAAGAAAAGGAAGCGGTCTTCTTCTTATCATTTTTTAAACATCGAATATTAAAGTCGCTTTTATTCAATTGTAAAAGTTAGAATTAATGAAGCAATAACAATAATGAGATTTTCCGTAATATAAAATATTGAGTAGTATATTTATTTTATTTCAACTCATTTTGTGACATATCAGTGAAAGGTTTTCATATCCTAGTTAATGATGATCTCATTTAATAACATCTAACATTTTATGAGTAAAGATTATTTGTAAATAATAAAAAAATAATAACTAATGACTAATAATTATCATTTCTATTAAGTGTGATATATTTCTTTTATTATTTCAGTTTAGTTGATATAGTTATTAGAAAAAGAATAGGAAACCAGTAAAACACTTTTAAATTTTCAATGAAAGCGTTGAATAACTACGTTTATTAGATGTAATAAAAAAGATTTATTATTTATTTATTTGAACACAAGAGGGCACCAGATACATGTGCGCCACACAAATCTCATTTGATTTACGTGAGGGCTGTTATACTGCCCGGGTGCCCAAACCGAGGCAGGTGGTTTTCTTAAGGGGCCACACCCGGAGCCTTTGACCTAAAGGTCTGATCCACAAGGCAGTGGAGTAACGTAAAGAGATTCAGTCTCGTGGTAGCTGGTGACCAATAATTGGTTCATACGCCATTTTTCCCTCAGGATACTGAGGCCCATGTGTACCATTGGTTTGGAATCAGGGTTTTCCGAATCCCCTAGGTGAACTTTCCGCGTCCACCAACCCGGTTAAAGCGCCGGACACTCACTTTTCGTCCTCTCAATTTTGTAAACAACACCCGTGGTGCGAGCAGGTGGTGAGTAGGACTTCTCTGACAGAAGCTATATACGCGTGGCCATGTGAGAACATTTTTCGAGGGAGAGTGTACTCTCACCACTCTCGGCCGTATCAGGGCTAATAAGAAAGAAATTTCGATAGTTAGTATAATGTTAAACAAATTATTTTATTTCAATTTACACTTTAAATTAACTCAATTCTTTTATTAAATATCAGAAAGTACTGTAGGTGAATAATTTTGGAATTATACAATACATTCTATTGATGTAAGTTTCACTGACCGGTGAAATTGTTAAACGTATATCACATATGATCTTTAAAACTTATGTTATCCACATATTAACTAACTGATAATATTAACCAAAATAACAGTAAAAGGAAAAAAAGCAATAATTTGCTATTGACATATTAAGTCCTGATATTGATTTATTTTATGTTACCATTTGTTTGTTTGATTTGCAATTCAACATAAAATGTCTTCGTTTAGAATTCTTATAATATTCTTAGATAATCATTAGAAACCAAAGACAATATAGTCTAAAATGTATCATATTAATAATCATATTCTCTTGAATATTAGTAAATCAGTAATATGTCGTTTTCAGAATAAATATTTTATTTATTTTTGTTTATAAAACATATTTTAATTGATGTACTAAATTTTAAATAGAGCAAGAACAAACATTGATGCAGAATAGTATGAATTTATACTATTCTGCATCAATATTTGTTCTTGCTCTATTTGAATTCATAAAGGGAACCAATTGCATGGTATTAAATTTTGTCAATATATTGAAGATATTTATTCTTTTTAAATGTAAAAACAAATTCTATGATAATTTTTAACATAATTAATTCATAATTTGTACATAAGTTTTGTTTATAATGAAATCAAAATTGTTTCTCAGACTGAATACAAAATCAGTTACTAATCAACCTATTACAACTTCTTATTTTAATGTCTACAGATATCATATATATTACTCGTCATCTCTAACTCAGATTGATTTTTCATAGTGAGAACATACTTTACTGAGATGATTTCAAGTACTGTTTTCAGTTTTTGGTTGGTCACACAATAAAAAGATACTTCTTGAGGTGTCTGTAAAAAAAACTCGATTGATAGTGTTTGTGGTAACTTGGGAAGTTAACAACTTCTTGAGTCTAGGCATACTTAATTATTTTCGCATAGTTTCGGATTTGTTAACTTTACAATTAAAACATCGGCAAATTAAATCCTTAGGACAAGGTGAGGCATTGTATTTTCAGGGCTCACCTCTTATAAATTCTTTCCATCTTTGGAAGATAGCATCTTGAAATATATTGTTTGGCTTGGGCGTAACAGCTAATTGATGTCACATTTAAATACAGTTGACAGTACGAAGTCACCGTTCGGTCACAATTTTGTTATTTTCAGTTATATCACTCCCCCAACCGACCTGGCTGTTGTGATAGAGTCTAAAAAAACAAACATACCAGTCAATACAGCTCAACTGGGTCATCATAATAGAGAAACTCACCCACCATGTCAAGATAGCAGTTATAAATAAAACTACGTTGAATCATTCAGTTATTTATTCTTTCGGCTATAGATTATTTTAATTTCTAAACGTTTGTTATTATTAAGAGCTGAGATAATCAGTCTCTGTCTTGGTTTATGAACTTTGAACCGGGTACCTTGATACTCTGTCCATCATGTGTATTAACTCTTGGATATCATTGGTTCTGTATAACAAGTCTGAAAATAAAAGGAAACACATGTTTTACATTTCACTTTGACGCATTATTACAAGAATGTATTTTTAGACTATTTTTTGATCTTTTTTTGTAAAAAAAAACATTTTCTTGTAGGTATGATGAAAATATAGATACAAATATGATTTTATTAAAATTTGTTACAATGAATAATACACCAATCGGAATGATCAATTGGTTTGCTGTACATCCAGTCAGTATGAATTCTACGAATACTTTAGTTAGCAGTGATAATAAAGGATTAGCATCAATTTTATTTGAACAAAAAATGAATCATAACCAAATGTTAGGAAAAGTTAGTCATTTCCATGGTGATTGTTTTTCTGTCTAAATATTTTCCATTAAATAATATTAAATAAACTATTATTCATATTAATTTTTATTTTAACAGGTTAGTAAATATTTTTCTTAACTAGTAGTTTAATTTTTTCTGCAATATTTTTCAATAAAATAATTTGAGTAACTTTAAACTTTTACAATAAAGTAAACTGTTTTCACACAAGGTAGCTGTGTTTCCTTAAGTTTTCTGATAATCTGATATTTATAATTTCATTGTTCGCATTATAAACTATTCCTAGATAGATAACTACTAAAAACTGAGAATCATTGGATAACCACTTGATTCTTGTATAAAATTTCGACTGTATTGAATCATGATAGTACTATAGACCGAACCCAGGAAACCCTAGTCATATCAAGTCTTTATTTATTTGTTTTTTTAATGTTAAAGAGAATATAATGTTTTTGGTTTAAATTTTGAAAAAAATTAGATAATTTATCTCTCTCTTATTCAGCTGATTAAGTTGTCAAGTGCATTTTTGTTTTTCATTTATTTTACAATTACTCAAAATATCTGAATTCATTTACAAAAAATTAGATGAAGACATATGTGGAAATTATATTTGAAATAATCTCAATGATTGGAATTTAAATAATTACATCGTTTCGTCCAGCAAACTTGTCTAAACTTCTTTAGGGTAATAATTAAAATCAAAATTAGCAATGAAATATATAGTATTCAGTGATCAAATGAAATTTTTACTATGCTTATCCACTCATATTTAGATGTTGATTTCAGTTTGGCGGATAACTTAGGTCAGTCATGTGAAACGTTCACAATGTAAAAATAAATGAATGAATGAAATTTGTGTGTATGTGTAAGATTGAGTTATTAATAGTTGATACTAGGTATAATTTGCTCTTATATGAAGTGAAAATAAAAACAAAAGCGCAAGTTGAATGTTGTAATCGTTTTTGAATCGTCGATGCGCATGTAAAATAGGAATCATTGAATACATAATTGTATTGCTAAAATATCCCAGATTAATTTTTTTTCAGAATAACGATACATGTGAAATAATCAGGTTGGATAGAGAAAGGGTCCAATTGCTTTTCAATGGACAACTGCTAATTAGTTGCAAGTTGAATACCATCCTTTCTGTTCAGGCTGTTTGTATTAGTCCATATATACAGCGCTTCTGCTGTCGAGTTTTCTTTATGTGTGACAAAACCTTTCTGAAGTATTTTGGTACCTTCAGGGTTGATCTTGTGCCCTGTTTATGACGCATGTAACGCTATCGTCGGCCTATTCTCAAGAATCCTCAGATATAATATGAACCATAATGAAGAGAACAAATTCTGCTAATAACTCTTTAGATTGATCATATTGATATCGATAAGTAACTGCTGAGTGTAAATAATTTCATTAAATACAGACAATCCATTAAATATTAAATACGATGATGTTAAATCGACTTATCTGATTAGGTAGGTCCAGATTCTCTAATGGAAAGTAGTTTCCATTAGATCTACCGATGTATCCTACTATTTATTGTCAACAAACATAGAACGCTTATCAAGTAATAATTCCTCATAATTACTTCCAGTTATCAAATAATTCCAAAAACCTTTTTCAGCACAAAAAAGGATAGTAAATAATTCAATTTTTTAGAATTTCATTACCCTATAATTACCTATATAACCTATTTTAAATTTGAGATCATGAACCGATCAATGTTAGATTACCATTGAAAACCAGAAAGCACTGGATACCCATTTCATCCTAGTATTGAACTCTTCAGTAGTGCGTATCAATGATCCCACATGCGGGGCTCGAGCCCAGGACCTTTGATCTCGAGCGCGAACACTTAACCCATATTCGACGTTGTTAATGTCTAACTTCAACCAATCTAATTTATGATATCAATTAAAACTCAACAATCTTCACAGCCCTATACTGATGTATAATATTTACCTGATTTTCTATAAAATTGTAGTTTTTCATATATTATACTGTTACGTCTTTATATAATTATTTTGAAGATTAACTTTCATTGACTATATTTATTCAAAGGAAAAACATATGGTGTAACTAAACACTTACCAATGTTATCGGTTGATTTATGTTTATCAAATCACAAAATGTTATGTACATTTTCCTAAGATTTATTAAGTTAATGTATTAAATATAAAATATTTGAATAATAATATCATTGTTTAATGCAAGTAGCCATCATCATTGAATACATCTACCATTATACATATTTGATATAAACAACATGATAACAGACAAATTTGTTTCCAGTACTGTTAGGAAGGTTGATTTTATAAGGTGTTAGTTCACAGTATTGTTGACAATCACAACCAAGCTAAAAATAAAAGTACAACAATCTGACTGTTCTATTTTATAACTGTAGTTTATAAATTGATTTTCATAAAAATAACTTCTCTAGTTTATTTCCTTTTATTGCTTTTCTTATTGGTTTATATATTTCAAAAGGGTCCATTTGTTGCTGCATTCGCTCAAGCTAATGAAGGTGATGTTTCACCAAATACTGCTGGTCCACGTTGTATTGACACTGGTTTACCATGTGATTTTGTGCATAGTAGTTGTGGTGGTCGTGTAAGCCAATCAATAATAAACAAGAATTATAATTAATTTAATTTAGGCACAAAATTGTATTGCATACGGTCCTGGTTCAGATATGTTTGAAAGTACAAAACTAATTGCATACAAGCAATTTGAAAAAGCATGGGTTTGTTAAAATAATTACTTTCTATGTTTTACCGTATTCTTTCTTTCGTTCAGTTATTGTTTAATAATGCTACTACTGAGATAAATGGACCTATTAACTTTATTCATCAATTTATTGACATGACAAATATAAGTTTAAATTATAAAGTAAGCTGTCGATCTTATAGTAATTTTAACATATTTAATCAATTTAAAGAATTATTCAGGTCATACATGTGAACCAGCCATGGGTTTTAGTTTTGCTGCTGGTACAACTGATGGTCCAGGAGATTTTGATTTTATTCAAGGTATCTCTAATATACTTATAATTTAAAAATCTTTTACTAACTGTTTCAAAAGGTATTACACATGGTAGTTTATTTTGGCGGATTGTTCGAAATTTTATTAAAACACCAAGTGAAAAATTGATTAAGTGTCAAGCTCCAAAACCAGTTCTTCTTGCTACCGGTGAAGTAAGTGAATTGTTTGTGAAATCTTATATTACTTACTTACTTACTTACGCCTGTTACTCATCGTGAAGGTGCAAAAGCCACCCATCGGCATTCTTCATACAACACTGTCCTTTTCAGTTGTTTCTAGTTTCCATTCACTCTTCAGATATCTGATTTCGATTCCTAGCAAAGTGTGTTATTTAGCCTTCTTCTTCTTCCTCTTCTTCGTCTTCTTCTTTTTCTTCTTCTTCTCAGTTTCCCTTCAGGATTCCGAGTTAGGGCTCACCTCGTGATGCAGTTTGGTGATTTCCGTATTGTATATCCTATCCACTTCCAGCGTCTCTTCCTATTATTAGAAGATAAGAACAAGGCTAAATGTTTGGTTAATTAGTGAAAGTAAGACGCTTTGTAGCGTAGTCTACACAAAATGCTACAAGATTTCTTAACTCATTTTTTATATTAAGTCATCAGTATTTGTAAAGGAATTATATTATATGAATTATAGCAATAAGTTTTTTACTCTGCCAAGATGAATAAACTGTTGGTTTGAACGCATTTCAGTACTGTTGGAAAAGATTTTAATTGTTTGAATTTATGAAAGTCATTCTAAGGTTGTTGACGTTTCTGACGTATAAGCTTTAATAAAAATAGTAGTAATAATAGTGATAATAATAGTATTAGAATTTCGAAATGCTATCTTGAAATTACTTTTTTGTCTCTCTAAACATCAACATATTAATATACTACATATTAAAATCTGTTTACCCTGTAAACTATGTTCCTAGACCTTGTGAAATTTACAATTGAACTTTTTTATTATGCTTTGTAGATGAATACTCCTTATCCTTGGCAACCGTCTATTGTTGAAACTCAAATTGTATCGATTGGATCTCTTTTAATTGTTGCCTTACCTGGTGAATTTACCACAATGTCTGGAAGACGTATTCGTGAAGCAGTGATTGAAGTAATTCTATTTATATATTGATCATAAAGACTCACTGTTTATGACGTCAACTTATCGCCCGATTGAATGATTACTTATGAAGTGCACTTAACCTTTAGTGGAGGAAGCTTCTTTATGTTCAAATAACCAAATTAAATAGCATAATTGAAATGGAATACTTTACACCAATGTTACATTACATATTTAGATTGTGTATAATTCTTTACCTAAAATTTTCGAATTCATTTAGATGTTAATCAACAAGCGAGTAATTGATAAGTGTTTTCCATGAGAGCATAGTAGTTTGAATTCTAGGATTTATCACGATTTGACCTTACCTAGAGACAAGAAAAAATCGATTGTTGACATTCATAATTCTTTAATCATATTGAACAGAGTTTTTTTATTTATTCATCTTGAATTACAATATCGTTAATGATTAATCCCAGCAATTATTACCGAGTCATTAGGCTAGAGATATGATCACCATAATATGTTGCCCACTGATCAACTTACATATAACAAAGAACTATATAAGCATTTACAACTGGTCAATTACCATGGCTTCTGTGTAGTAATTAATATAAAATTATCCCAATGTTAGAATGTAGTGATATTGTACTATCTGAAAATAAATATGATACAGATTTTTAAAATTTATACTTAGATTTATTTATTTATTTTTTCATTTCGAATGACACAAAGTTCATAACTAAATAATTATCAATCGAATAGTTTATTTATTGTTATGATTTTATTTAGTTAACATAGAAATAACTGTAAACGAACAATGGTACATATTGTGTATTTTTATTAAAAAAATTTTTTTCGTTGATATTCATCACAGAATTTAATCAGTTGATAAATACAGTTAAAAAACTAGGTATCATTGAATAGTTGTTTTGTTTTGTTTGAGTTCTTTAAAACTGTATTCTATTAACAACCCTGCTAAAAGAGATTTTTATGTTGCATGAAGAATTAATTAAAATTGGAAATATGAAGTCTTGACTTTCTAATCTATAAGGCTTAAATGGATCTTAATTTTAACTTTTGGTGCCATCGTGGATTTACACAGCTGAAAGCTTCCATTCTATGATGAAATATTTATTTAGTGCTCGTTCTTTTTTTTTCTTTTAGTGAAACATCAACTGACACTTTGCTCTATTGTGATTTCTATACATAATATAGTTTAATAAAGCAAACAAAGTATCAACTAAATATACCTAAACACTATGATATATTTGTACAGATTAAAAGAAAAATAACCGATAGATTTAAGATAAGTCAATTTTAACCTGAAACTAGTTTTGTTCATTTATGAATTAAAATCGCTTATAGAGTATTTTGATACTATTACAATCGCTCATTATGTTGATAAACACATTCTGTAACTAAAGACACAATGGTTACCTAACCTTATATAAGTTAAGAAATTTAAAGATATATATAGAAAATTACCTTTTTTAAAAATTGATACAATAAAAATCTTCAAAAAATAAACAACAAAATATGTTAGATATTTTTTGACTATCTAACTGAGTGGATTTGCAAACTACAAAATTAAAACATCATACACCTATTTACTATTCAACTAGTGGTTTTTTTTTAGTTATACTTTTTAGATTCTAATTAGTTGGTTAATTGAATGTAGTCGATAGAAGTTCTTGTTTGACATAGATTCCGTACTAGTTAACATTACGCAGCAAAGTTTAATCATAGTATTGTGTAAACTGATGTTATATTTAGTATTCTAGTTCTCGTGATGGAATATATGATACTTAACAAAGTTTAACCTACATCCATGACTTTCTCTTGATTGTCTCCAATTAATTGATATTAAATATAATACAACATCCACATTTATTTATATTTTCATTTATTTAGTTGATTTGCTCTAATTTTACAATTTTGACACAAGTCTCATATCAATTTGAATTTATGTTACACTTTACTATTACAATCGATGCTGTGATAGGTAATGGTAACTATTATTAATTTAATTAAAAATATATATGAGGACGAATGTGTATCTGTATTATGTGACAGAAAAATTATTATAATTGTTCGTAATTAATATCTGACAGGTTAACTCGTGACACATATTTATAGGTGAATAAATAATTTAACTAATTTTTTATAGTTTGATAATATAAAGTATGAGAAAACTATCCATCATTTCTACGATAACATCATGTTTATCATAAGCTAGCACTCTTCCAACTACAACGAACATTTGAATTTCCTATAGACAAAAAACCAATTACCTACAAATATTTGTGAGAACTTTCGATTAACTTTGTACGAATAGTTTCACAATATTTGGCGTCTAGTTGGTGTAAGAAATTAAGGAGGAAGAGTGTATTTGTAAAATGTTGGTTCTAAAACACCACACATTACTTTATCCAACGGATTCCCATCTCTTGTTTAAGGTCCTAACAAGTACGGAACTAACACGAAAAGTACTCACAAAAAGGTCGTCTGTGGTCGATCTCAAGCAGTTGTCCCTTGGGCACTGCGGTCATGCTCTAAGATCACTTAGACCACCTCTGACCCAATTTACTTTTCAGGTACCTCCAGGAAAATCCTTCCACGATGTGAGCGACCGGGAAGTAATAACCGCCCTCATACCTCTAACAGCACTCAAGACCACTGTATTCATAATCAACCTCCCTTCTCAATTCCTATTATTCCTCCTACATCGACCTTCAACACTAAACTTCCTCTCGTGGCTTCCTCCCCAAGTGTCACCATAGCCAACGATTCTATTGCGCAAAACACCGTCCCAAGTCTACTGAAACCTCGTTCCAAACTACGCATTAGAGCCTTCAACGTATGCTCCCTATGTCAAATCGGTCAGCAAACCTACTTGGATGAGACTCTAGAAACTGGTACAATTGATGTATGCTGTGTCTCCGAAACACGCATACAGGATCTTAGTGTGGTTATCCACTTGACCTCACCTCGCCAAAACGGAGAGCCGACGAGATACACTCTCCGTGTATCTGGTCACGCGATGGCTCGTTCTCGTGAACTGGCAGGTGTAGTCATAGTGCTATGTACGAGGGCAGAACAAACAGTATTAGAGTGGATCCCTGTTAACAGTCGTCTATGTGCTGTTCGGCTAAACGGCTTCGTAAGAACTCGGAAGGATAGGGACAAACGTCGTCTATTCGTTGTTTCTGCCCTGGTAGGTAGCTTAAACCATACGGAAAGAGATTTAGGTGGGTATTTTAGTATTTCGGCTCAGCGAACAGATAATGATGATCGTCTGCCGCAACTGCTCAGATAATCGTTTGTTTTTAGCAAACACTAATCTCAAGCATAAGAAAAGACATCGTCTAATATGGCGACCGCCTGCATCAAACCAACGATGTGCTCAAATAGACTATATTGCCATCAGTCATTCTTGGAGAGGGTCGATAGAAGCTTGTAGCTCGTTCTGGAACATCTGCTTGGACTCCGACCATGCTCTAATATGGGCACACATCTGCTTACGCGTTCGACTACTTCACTCCCTATCCTTAGTTCAGGTGTTGACCCAGACCAGTCTTGAAGCAACAACTTACATTTAGAGGGAGAGAAGCGTATTCCAAGCATTCTGATATTGTTGCTTGGTGCTACCAAAAGACTCTGCATTTTATCGGCGTCTTCACCAAACAGGACTATATCATCTGCGTATTCAAAGTCGATAAGTGTACCTCCTGGTAGGAGATCAATACCCGAGAATTCAGTCGACGAGAGTGTTATTTCCATCAATAGGTCTATGATGAAGTTAAACAAAAATGGAGAAAGTGGACAGCCTTGACGGACACCACTTGAGGTTGCAAAAGCAGATGACAGTTCGCCATAAGCTCTGAATCGACTAGTAGTGTTCGACTAAAAAGCCTTCACAGGGTTTATGCAATTCTGAGGTATGCCTGAACACCGATTACCACGACGCGCAATGCTGACTAGTTTTGGTGATTGTTCGAAGAAAGTTAGGGGCGCCCAAACCAAAACGCGGCATCAGTTCTTGAAGTCAATAACTTCTAGTCTTAGCCACTTAGGTAGTTGGAGCCAACGTGACTATCGTATGGTTGGAGACTTTAGGTGACATGGCTCTGAATCGACCACTATGGCGTCGGTGTATACACTTTTTGTCTTCTTTTAAACTATGAGATTAAAATCGCTCCATATCTTTCTTTCTACAAATTAATTCTATCTTCCCGGACTATATCCTTTTATGAAATCTTTCTTTTATATTAGCGCTATTGAATTAACTACTTCTATGAATCCGGTGTTCATCTCGTTGTGCTAATGCGGTATGGCAACTTGTAGCGATGCATGTATGTGCTTGGTCGTACGTTGTAGCTGACTGAAAAGTGAAACGTTGGATTTGCTTCAAATTCATTCTCTGTGAATATGCAAATACATTCTACTTACAAAGATTATCTCATCATTTTACAATGTCATTTATTATTATCATTATTATTACTACTAATAATAATGTTACATATTATATATGCGGAGTACATTGGTATCAAGTGTATTCAATTTCAATTATAGATCTTTTCTTAAAAATTTCATTTTTTATGAAATTACTCTCAAATCTTCGTAAACGGTTTGTCAATGAATAACACGAAATTTGAGTTGCTTGAATCTAATTAAATAATAATTTATATAACTTCCATATCAAGTAAAACCAGTATGCGTTATTTTGATCTATGCTTTTAAGATAAGAGGTATTGATGTTACTGGGTTATTTCAGCTAAAATAGACGGTAATGTGCTCGAGGTTGTAACCAACTGTTAAGAAACCAAGTGCTTTAATTACTAACTTGTCGCTTTCGAGTTTTGTATCTTCTCGTATATTCTCTGGTACCAACATATTTTTGCATACTCTTCTTTATATTAAAAGTAACCTTACTTTTAGATTATACCTTGAGTTTCTCAAAATCTTCTACTTAGAATGTTCTAAGTAAGAGAGATAAAACATTACTTAGTTATGACACTTAAAAAATACAAAGTTATTGCCACATTTTTAAATTTATTTATTGGTGTTTCTATGAAGAAATTGCATTATAGAACAATAATGATTGGTTAATGGAACTGTTAAAGACCACTAATGACAACCTTATATTCTAATGTTGATATTCATAATTACCTTTGAAATCATCATTTATTACTTCAAATAGAAAAACCTTATTTTTAGGCTGTTGATTTCTGATAACCAATAATATGTTCAACTGAGATGATATTTATGATTTGTAAATGATTTTATTTTCGTATTGTTAAGATTTAATCCACGATTTTGCTGATAACTACAATACTATGAAAAAGGCTATATCGAATCATTTGAGGATGTTCGCAAGTCACTGGTTAGAGTTCAACCCCAAAAATCTATGATAGGATAAAACTAATGTTCCTAATTTCGAATAGAGTTTACATATTATTCACGTTATTCAATTAAAATTTATTCATTTTGTTATTCGGTTTATTTGTTTTGAATCTATCACTGTGTGTAAAACTGATTCCATACATATATTTTAGAAATACGAACTGACCTAAGTTAGGCAATCATTGAAAATCTGAAAGTACCAGATGGCTGTTTCGTCCTAGTATCGGATTCCTCAGCGGTGCGCGTTGATAACCCTGTGTCCAGGTGGTAAACCCATAATGTTCGATCTTGCATGCAGACGCATAACCTCTAGATCACGTAATTAGCCTCCATTGGTGTTGAAGTCTTACTTCAATCAACCTTCGGTATTACATAACCATTTCACTTCAGTGATTGTAAAAATGTTACCTTAAATTAAACTACAGTGGATATGTGTTTTTCTTATCATAACGTTCTAACTGTTTTGGTTGATTTAGTTGGAAAGATAAATTCATGATAATCTGTAATAACGGTGTCATAATATTTATCAACCCCTAGATTTATATTGCTTCTTGATTGCATCTTTCTAGTTGCATGTATAATTGTACGCGTACATTGTCGAGTATCAACAGTATTTAAGAATGAATAGACTTTGATCATCTTAATAAGTGCGAATTATATTCACTTACTTTTTATAGACTTATAAAACAAGTATTCATTTAGTGATATATTTACTTTATTTTCTTATGTAAACCTATGTCAATAAATGTATTTAATTAATTTTCATTAAATCAATTAAAAACTAGTAAGTAAATAATACTAAAAACAGTAAAACAATCGTCAATATGGTATCATAAAAAATAACTTTACGAAAACAAATACAGACAAGTAATTTAATATGAATAAATACTAAAAAGTAAATATTATGTTTGCATGATGGAAATATTTTTGTCATTTAAGTATACATTAATAGTTGTTAGTGGTTATTGTAAGCAGATATTTCAAAGGGAAGTACTTGCTCGAGAGAATGATAAATGCGCTACATAAACGTTTATCAATGATTAACTTAAGGATTGTTTAATACTGAATCTAGTAATTATTAAATTCCCAGAGAAATCTCGTGATCAGCGGAGTTCATTCATGCTGGGAATATAAAGACAGTTACTAAAAGTGTCAATGAACGATAATAGCTCATCATGAAGAGCTGACTGAGATTAGTAATATGAACCATTCAATGTTAACTACATGTTTCGCATGTAACTCAGCTGTTGTGCTGAGTTTGATTCCTGATGTGATCTTTAGTGAATTCTATTATGAAGTATCCTACTAAGATGAAATAGTAATGAAGTGGTCCTTCATTTTTGTTGGTTCTTCACATGATGATTTGTAACGAAAATTTTACAAATCGATCAATCGCCATATAACTTGTCATCCTACAATCAACACAACCAATTAATGCATTTTATTATTTATTTATTTAAACACATAAACATTGGTACCAGGAGTCACCAAATATATATGCCCCACATAAATCACATGATTTGTATCGGATATTGCCCGGGCGTCCAAACCGAAGTAGGTGGATTTTTTTGGGGAGCCATACCCTGAGCCTTTGACCTAAAGGTTTAATCCACAGGACAGTGAAACAACATTAGAAGATGCAATCCCATAGGAATTTCAAAAACTAATGATAAGTTAATAAAATCATGATTAAAAAAATTTGGTGAATGTTTAACAATATAGAGCTTTTATTAATTTGGTTTTTCGGATTTAAGATTAATTATATTGAAATTGTTTCTATAAACTTGAAAATGTGACTAATTTCAATAAACTAGGGAAATGTTTTTTCAATTTAATACAGTGATTTTCAAAAAGTCTTATTTATATGGCTGACTTGAAATTTATCAAATAAATGTAGGTTGTGGATTTACGTTTTTAACTGGACGATGGAAATTATGCTTATTCGTTTAGTTGGTAGTATTTACTTCACCTATATTTTGTAACGAAATAAATGAATAAATATTTTGAAACAGTCCAAATACTTTACGGCTAATGTTATGTCGTTATCAAAGAACACGTTTTCTACAAAAGTAAAGTCATGATCGGGCAATGAAGTAGAGCAAACGGTGAGACTATAATTTATGGACGACTGAGCGACTCTAAGACCTTGAGAGTGTCCACCTACATACTGTTGCTAAATGAAGGTTATAAATCAGCATGAGGAATTAGGATTAATATTTACAGTTGATGGTTAGGGTTAGGAATCAGATATAGGGTTTTCATCACGAACTGACGTCAGTTATAATGCCAAAACTCTGTTTAACCAAATGGATATGTGAATTTCGCGCCAAAATTCAAGACCTGTTATCGTAAATCTGATTGGATCGTCTATAAATTATGGTCTCGCCATTATATTTCTAGGTGATGTATTTGCAGTTTAAAATACGAATCTCATGATTGCTGACTACTGTGTAGTGGATGTTGCCTTGAAACACTGCAATGCCCACTTGTTTTAACTGCGGAAAAACAGTCTGTTTATTGTTGTATATCTGAAAAAAGACAGCAGTTATTTGACGTAGAGAAAAAGGACAAGACTATAGATAAATATTTTAGTATGGATTCTTAATAAATCTATAACTGATCCAACCAGTGATGGACAGCTGAATCTAAATACTTGAATTATAGACCAATAGTTAAATTTGAAAACAATGAACTAAACAGTAGTAGTTGACATAAATAATCACTAACTAAATCCTTGTAAACAGTTTACAATTACTTATAATTTTAGCTGAGTTAACTAATAATACAAACAAAATTCGGAGTTACATTTGTACTCCTTCCTAATACGTTTTATATTTTACAACATTGAATAATAAGGATAGGATGTACAAAAAACTAAATATATACAAATAGGTATACTTTTCATGTTATAAAGTTTTTATGCATAAAACAGTTGATCAACGTTTAAATTGTTTCTAAAACATAAGGTCTGATTGTTGCCATATGTAATACATTGGTATCTTAATGTAATAAAATCATCATCTCTATTTGACAAAGATCTGCCTATTTTATAAACAAAATAGCGTAGTTTAAATGGTATGAAGTTTCTCGCAACACTTTCACTCAACTGTTTTCGTACAGATTGAGAAGTTTAGATTTTTATTGGTGTAGTTGGTTGCTTTTCTTCGTATTGGTGATGATTTAATACATTTAAAATCTTTTATACTACATTAACAGACGTTGTATTTTGAAATAATCTGACACAATAACTATAAGTTGTTGTCAATAATTCTCGAGAAACATTCGAAATAGTCTAATACAGATGTAATAGGTCAACTTAAGATTACCTAAGTTTTAGAGATTGATGGTATGAAATTTTGTTATTCTAAATGTAGACTGTTCCTTTGTGTGAATAAGTATCAAGTGGATACAGTGTTGGTGACAATTACTCATTTACATATTGACTAACTAGTCTCAAATAAAAAATTCGTGGTCTTGGTTCTACTTCTAGTCACATACTACGTAAACTAAAACTATTGACTAACATTTAAAATTATTATTTATTCACTTATGATAGTTTTGTACCAGTTTCCTGAATGCTAATTTTCTACTGTTATTTACGAAATCTTTTCCATTTAGACCTTATTTGAATGATGAGATTGTTGTACTAGAAGTGATAGATATAATTGTAGCATCATCAGGAATTATCACATTGTTCTGCTGTGTATATGTTGCTGTAAATAATACCACATATTTTAAATTAAGATGTTTATGGATTTCTTTTCCATGTCTTCGTTGCATTATCATACATTATAAGCTGTAAAACTCGTTATTAAAATGTAGATGCTGAGAATTACATCAAATAGTGATTGTTGTAATATTAGCAAATACTTTCTTATAGTACACTAGTTTTGTAGCTCATATACTAAACTTTAACTCTTAAATGCTATAACTCTGAACACAGTAATGTTGAGTTATATGACGCAAAATCGGTCACAGTGACTTAAAAACAAGCATTCACGTCATTCATTAATTTAAATCTTTAGTTTAAGTATTCTTTTTCTGCGAACCTTGTTATTCTATCTTTCAGTTACTAAATTATTTCCCCTCCTTTTCTACTTATCTTTTTAGTTTCATCTCAAGTAAATATGGGGTAATGGATGTTTGTGTTAGGCTTTAAGTTGTTTATAATTGCCCGTTATATGCTATTAAATAAATGACTAAATCGTTATTTTTCACATTGTTGATAGAAAACTTAGTCAAAGCTTATCGTGTTAACAATATGCTCATCATTTTTTGAACTTTCAGATTTATATGGATATTATACTAGTAACTTTAAATCGCTTCTTTCTTTTTTTGACTGGATTCCCATTTAGGCTGCTAATAATGCTTCTAAACAGAATGATCCAAGTTCAACTACACAATATGAAGTAATTCTTTCTGGTCTGTCAAATGTTTACTCAAGTTATATTGCAACTCCTGAAGAATATCAAGTAATAATAATTCACTAATTTGCTATGAATCAATTGTCCAATATTTTGTCTTTCTACTTTTATATAATTTATTTTAATCTAAGACTGTTTTGAAAGATTATATTAAACAATAAATTGTCACTATTTTTTTTAACATTATTAGAATGAGGGATTGTGGAAATTGTAGTACTTTTATTAGTTGAATTCATGATTCGATGTAGGCCAGACCACCAGTGAAAATCTGGAAGCACTAGACGGCTGTTTCGTCCTAGCACGGGAATCATCAGCAGTGAGCGTCTAGAATCCTGTACGCGGGATTTGAAACGAGGACCGTCGATCTTGCGCGTGAACACTTAACCTGTAGATGACTGAGCATGTGTCCAACGCTGTTAATGTCTAACTTCAATTGATCCGTGATCTTGCGTAACCCTTCATCTATTGTCTGTGTTAGATAACTGTCTTCACTTGACACGGATTGGACTCCATTGGTCACGGCTTCAATGGTGGTCTACCTTACATCAACTCATGAATTTAACTATTGACAGATCATTTTTAGTGTTTATCTAATGAGTAATGTTCACTTGTTAGTAGGTTTATATGTAGTAGTTGTTCTTATTTTTTTTGGAAAGAGGACGTAGAAAAGCACTTTTTTAGGTATCTAAAAGAGATAATTATCATTTAAAAAAATCATAAATGGACAAATTAGTAATTGTAATTAATTCATAACAGTTTACAATGAAAGAGCATGAATTGATCACAATCTGTAAATTATAAATTGAGATAACAAAAACGATGTCAATTTCCTAAATAATCATAAAGTTAATATTTCAATTTACTTTAATACACTTGTATTCATACTCATGTATAAATTATTTAACAAAATATTAAACTATATTACTTTTTATTACAATATAGAATTCTTCAAAATAAGTTAAAAATGTTCAAGTATAAATATTGTATAGATAAACAAATTTTAAATGAAAATAAACACCATTTTACGATAATTTGACAAAACGAAAATTAATATCAGTTGAGATCATGATTTAATTAAAGCTGGACCACCATAGGAAACCTGTAAGCACTGGACGGCCGTTTCGTCCTATTCTGGGACTCCTCAAGAGTGCTCATCCACAATCCCATATCGCAGGATTTAAACCCAGGACGTATCAGTCTCGCGCCAGGCGCTTAACCAACTAGACCACTGAGCCGGCATCCAATGGTGTTAATGTCTAACTTTAACCAATTCACGGAATTGAGCGATACATCCACCATTTTCTTCAGTGAGTTACTATCTCACAACAGACCCGGTTGAACTCCACTGGTCACTACTTCTCACTAGAACTTCAGGAAATGCCTCTTGAAGCCAGTGGGTGCGCATCACTAAGGAGTCTCACAATAGTACGAAACGACCGTCTAGTGCTTCCAGGTTTTCCATCGTGGTCTAGCTTCAATTGACTCATGATCCCAACCATTGAAAAGGAAAATTGTTCATTCGTTTTCTATTTTGTATACATTGTTTGAAATTATAATTGCATATTTGTCTAACTAATTTGAAGAAATATGAATATATAATAAACGGATAAGTTTTCTCATTCAATGTAACCTTTATCGAAGTTTGAAATCATGAGTAAACTCTTCTCAGAATATTATATATAATTTAAACAAAAGTATTGATCATTATTCATTTGTTTTTGCGGAGAAAATTTAATTTAATTTTGTTAATTTAATTCTGCTTACTTCAAACTTTTTGACAAAATATTTCTTTATTTAAAAAAATTTCCATGTGATAATTGTGAGAGAGATTAAGAGAGAATCAATAATGTTAGTGAATTTCTCTTATATTAAACAATAATGAAAATTTAGTTCTTTTAAATAGGGTTTATTGTATTGTTTTTAATTTTTGGACATAATTATTAATTATTAAACTCGAATACCGCCAAGCAGTGCATCCTAAGATGTGGATTTAATACCACTTGAGATTCGTCAACCTGTTATTCCTGCTTATCAGTGTTGATGTTTATATTGGAATCCAAAAGCAGTTCATTTCTTATCAAATTTCAATGCGCTATGCATCGATTTACAGTGACTGATAGCCATCAGTTATTGAAATAGGTGTAGACGTTTTTTGTGATAATTCAAATTTTCTATTTATCAGTGTAGTTGTTCAGCGGCATGTTCTGGGTTTGCTTCTCAGTGTGAATATTAACATCTAACCGACAACTCCCAAATAAGATGAAGGCTGAGTTTTGAATATTATTTTCAGATGCAAATCCTATTTTATCTAAAACTAGTGAATAAGCTACAAAATCTTGATTATATCCTCAGGATTTATACATTTCAGCAGAGACTAGTTGCATACAATCCTTCAGATCAACAGCAGGAAAATACAAACATTTAAAAAATTATTATCTTCAGTTTTATCTGTCCTAAGGCTTCGTAAATCAAATGAGCTAATAACTGTTGCTTTATTCAGCTTAACTTATTAATAAGACTATATGATAGCATATGGTTATAGCTAATTTATTTTTTGACAATGTATCCTTTCGATTGGTAAAGCTGTCATCATCATCATTTGGACTGATCAACCATTAATAGAAGTTAATATTACTTTGGTCTTGATGCTTGTTGTTTATTAAACTATCGATTAAACTGCTCGCTTGTCTAAATGAATGATTAATTAAAGAAACTCTAATGATTTCGACACGTGATTGAATCAAAACAGAAGCAAAGTTCGTTTAAGATTTCAAATATATTTTGCTGAAAAGTTCGAACTAACATGAAATTCAAAGTTAAACAGAGATAATTACTAACACTAAAATCATAACTATGAATAATTTATCCAATCACTTTGTTTCTCTACTTCTTTGCTTTGAATTACAGCTTCAACGATATGAAGGTGCATCTACTATTTATGGTCCACTTACACTTCCTGCTTATGTTAATCAATTCAGTTTTTTAGCAGAAGCATTAGTTAAAGTATGTTTTAACCAATTCATTATTATTAATTATCATAATCACAGGCTGTTAAGAACGAGAGACGTGTGTGTAGCAGAGTATTTATGAGCGGTTAGCAGAGTGTGTCATGCTATAAGCTGTTCAAAACGGAAGTGTGAGTTCAAGGTCGTGCACTTAAACAACTTTTACAATCATTTGTGTAAATGTACAAACTATGAGAATTAACAAAATAAATGAGAATAATATCGAAAACTATTTACAAATTAATTTTGTCGTGCCTATCTCCACAGTCTAATCAAAAATAGACCTAAAAGGTTTATCAAATATTCCATAATCAATATGGTGATCGATTGAAGTCAGACAATAATGCTGTTGAATGTTTGCTCAGTGGTCTGGAGGTCAAGAGTTCACGCGCGAAACCGAACGTGGTGAGTTCGAGTCCCACGTGCGGGTATAGCTTGGATCAACTCGTGAATTTAGTTGAAAATATTCTATAATCACCATTTGATTTTATAGTTGAAATGAACTTGGAAAATTACTTGTCATCGTGTGATATTATTAGTAATATGGGTTAAATTGTGTATTTTCAATTAAATCACTTCCTTTTTCTGTAAGACATGATTTATAATTGTGAACAAATTACAATTATGAAATATTAATTTACTACGTTCTCACTTATAATTTAAGTTTCGGTTAAAAATTTTTATTACAGTGTTCCCAGACAAAAACGGAACAAACACAGCCTTTAATAAAAATTATGGAAAAATATATTATTTTACAAATGAATTCATGCCTATTGAACGTGCAATTAAAGTTGATGTTTAAAGTGATAAGTATTTGTTGAAATATTTCAGTATGAACATCAGCACAAAGATTCACACATATCAAGCTGATAAGTCTTGCAGATGATAAGTCGAACATCCTGGAATTTACTGCTAACCAGAATTTCATTGTACAAAAGAATTTCTTAAATAGTTGTTTTCTTTATCTAATGAGATGAAATACAGATGCCATTAAAACAATAATCTGCTTTATAAGCCAGTGAAAATGTGTTGTCACTTAAATTTTATTGGTATTTATTGTTCATACGACGCCTTCACTTTGTGATGTGTGCTCCCTATGTTAACAGATATAAGTAGCATATAACATCAATCAGAATTTGAATGCCTGGTAGTAGAAGATTGAGAAGATTGAATTGAAGGGAATATGAATGTACACAGAGAGTAATTTTAATAACAACAAGAATGGAAGAACGACGAAGTTTGTAAGAGACAAATGATGGAAGATATGCAAAGGTTGTATTTAATATATAGTTTTACGAAGTCACCTTTTAGTTTTGCATTAAAATAGTGAGTTAGTTTTCGCCACCTAAGTCTTCGTTTACTACAAAATAAGAATAAATTGTAAAAATCTCTGTTCTGTCAATTTTTCATTAGAAATTGTTACTTAATAAAATGCATTAAAGTGACTGATAATTGATAATTTGGAGTAGATGGACAGATAATTTAATCAAAGGATTGAATTTTAAAGTTCAATCAAAAACGATATAAAATTGACGGAATCACTGGCAAAGATAAAACATCTTGCTTTTGTTTGTACAATGAAAGTTTTTGCTCACATACAATGAAAATAAAATCTCCAGCAACGATAAATTATTAAGAATAATTAAGGATGAAAATACCAAGTTATTAAAAAGTCAATAAATAAATACATCTAACCAACTATTTTCATAGGCTGATTCAATGAATTGGATGACATTCACTCTTATTTTCTTTCGATTTATAGTACTGCGTAATAGTTGTAGACCACGGACAACTATCACTAAACCAACAATCCATGTAAACCTGTTTCATCTTCGTATATGAGTCTCATACTATGGTAAAATAGTTTGTTAAGTACTTCCTAATCTTCAACAGTTGTTTAATTAAGATTAATCGGTGAAATAAAGCATATAATTTCAACAAATTGCACAAATTATCCTTATTTATGTTGATATTATTGTGATATTTCACAAGTATTATGTATTCGGTTCTAATTCTTACAGGTATTTTTAAAAAAAATTGTATTTACTTTTTTTTTAAATACCATCTAGCGACAAAAAGTTTCTCCCGGAACAGTTGCTCCATATTTTTTCAATGAAGAATTCAGTTTTGTGCCGAAAATTTTATTTGATACAGCACCATTAGGAAAACCATTTGGTGCTGTAATTAAACAACCAAATTCAACTTACTATAATGTAAGTCTTTTTTTCCCAGTAAATGATAAAATGTAAAATCATTGTTGCTATTACCATCATAATGATGTGATTTTAGCTGTGAGTAAACATAAGAAATAAAAAACTTTTTTCCTATTTTTAAGAAATATTAAATGAACATTTAGATTTATTGTAATTGTAAATTAAAAAAACAAACATATTTCGATAGTGATTAAATTAAACTTAAGTACTACACGATATTAGTTCGATTTATACAAAATCTTGTTTGATTATTACGAATCAGAATTTCAGTTTCAACTTCATACTCTCTTTTCATTAACTAACTAGTCGAATAAACCAATGACTTATATCATTATGAATGATAGTTAATAATCTTACCGAAATTACAAAAACACGTTTGTATCCATTAAGTAAATGCTTTGTTTGTTTTTTTGCATCTTGTCTTTAATAAGTATCATTACCAACGTTTGAATTGACAATTTCAAATAAATTGAGCATTGGGTAGTTTGTTATTGTTATAACTTGTGCCGCCAATGAGAGAGCAGTGACTTATCGATCGGGTCAATGACGCGTAAACCCGTATGAGCAGTTTAGAGTCCTTATTGGTCCTACTTCTTGCCTAGCCTAGCTAGTTAAGTACAGAACACAAATCCGAGCCTCTGCGATATCAATTATCTATTTCAAACATACTCGGTTTATATACCAATCAGACAGACCATATCGTACCAATAAAATATGAAACAACATTTGTGAAAGAATTAGCCAGATATAGCTGTGAATGAGGGAGGTAGTAATTAATATACCGGGTATAACTCAAGAATGGTAAAATGTATAATCATAATTTATGGGTCAAAATAAAGCTTATAATAATGTAATATGCATAGTTTAGTCACTTAATAATTATACAGTAGAAATATACGTTTATTATTGGTCCATAAATGGATCCCAAAAGTTACCATTCATTATTCTTGTCGGGAGATAACAGTTATAAATAAAAAATTATATATTTGTAATGTCCAAGTGAGTAGAAAAATTACATTTCTGACGCTTCATGACTTCATGTAAGCCGCTTCTTCAAAGTACCATTTTATTTTACTGTTTGAACACATAAATATTGGTACAAGAGGGCACCAAATATATATGCGCCACACAAAACAATGGAAATTTGAAGAGGAGAAGGAAAAAAGGTGAAGAGCGTAAAAAAGAACAATAACGAACAGATTAGTGGTAGGTAGTCTAGTAATAATAATAATAATAATAATAATAATAATAATAATAATAATAATAATAATAATAATAATAATAATAGTAATAATGGGGGAAACGAAAAGCTACAATCAGAAGAAATCTTTCAAATAAGAATTAAGCAACCACTTTTTGTGAAGAAAGTCAAAGGTTACAGCAGGACCGCCACTGGCTTCTATTCTGAGCCATATCTGATAACGTCTCTAGCCACTGTGTAGCACGATCTCTCGGACCCCAGCCAGGGAATCGTGAAGGACCTACACAAGCCAGTTCTGTAAAGCTTTCTTTCATGCCACGACACCATGTCATATACTGACCACCTCTCCGCTTTTTCCAACCAGTGCCAGAGTCGGCAAATAATGCACGACGTGGAATCCTCTGCGATGACATTCGGAGAACATGTCCAAGCCACTGAAGTCGATGTTTCAAGATGGTGACACCAATTGAATTATCATCTCTGTGCCCGAACACACGATACCGAACCTCTGCATTACTAACATGATGTTGCCACTGGATGTCAGCAATCCTTCGGAGACAACGATGATCGAACACAGAGAGTCATCTAACGTCCTCAACTCGGAAAGGCCAGATTTCACAAGCATAGAGCAAAACTGCTCTCACTGACGCGTTGTAGATCCGACCTTTTACAGCCAGACTAACATCACGAAGGCACCAACGACGGCCCAGATTGGCATAAGCCACTCTATCTTTCACTATACGTGCATTGATTTCATCACTCACGCCACCACCAGCACTTATGCCGCTACCCAGATACACGAACTTCTCGACTACTTCTATCTGCTCACCAACCAGGGTGAGTACAGGATTAGAATCTCGCCAGTTTTGTAGCAGTACTTTGCACTTCGAAGGTGCAAAGCACATACCATACCTACGGACACTGATTGCCAACTGATTAAGTGCGGATTGCATGCCTTGGGCATTATCGCACAGTAAGACAATATCATCAGCATACTCAAGGTCGAGAAGTCTTTCTCCAGGCAACAGATCCACCTCGCCATTACTTACATCCATCAGAGCTGTTTCCAGAATGTTATCGATGGCAAAGTTGAAGAGGAATGGTGAGATTGGGCAACCCTGTCTAACCCTACTGCTCGGATGGAACAATTCAGAAAGGTGGTTATATGCCCTCACTCTGCCTGAGGTGTTTGTATATAGGGCCTACAGGATGTTAATAAACTTCTGAGGCACAACCTTCTTCAATAGACAATCCCAGAGAACAGTGCTATTCAACGAATCGAAGGCAGCCCTGATGTCGATATACCTACTGAAATGACTTCCAATAAACACTACGATTCCGATGAGATTCCAGAATTATCACAACCAACTGTGTATACAAATTTACATGTACCTGCCAAAGCAGTTACATTGGTAGAACAGAAAGGAGAGCCTACGTCCGATTCAAAGAACATATTCCGAAAAGTTTAAGGTTAAATGGATTGAACGCATTCAACAGTGCTATCGCAAGACATCTCCTTGATACAGGACATAAAGCTGATATACTGAAGTCCTTCAAGGTGATTAACAAACAATCAAACTCGAACCTTTTGAAATTCGCTGAAGCGTTAGCAATCAAACGCTTAAAACCAGATCTATGTATACAAAAAGAGACAGTAATAAATCTTTCTTTACCCTGGTAACAATAACCCCCACTTTTTCTATTAATTTGCTCCTATTTATTTATTTATTACGTCATTATTGCAGTTCTTTCTGAAATATAAATTACATCATACATAAATGATTGATTTCAATTCATATTTTCTTTATTACCATTAATCTATTTTCATGAGTTCTAATCACTATTTCAATGTTCCAGAACTTTCCCTCTCAAACTTTATTTATTTATTCGAATCAAACATTTTATGAGCTCATTAACTCTATCTGAATCTTTGCTACATCATCATACACATGTATTGATCCTTCATCACACTCTTATGTATAAATATGTCAATATCTGTAATAATGTTGAATTTCAAATATTTTAGGTTGTAAGCAGCTGATGAAAACCTAACGAAATAAAATGGATCCATTTATTATTCTGCACCAATCTTTGTTCTTGCTCTATTTAAGATAATAAAGGGAACTATGTGTATGAAAAAACACTACGATTGTTGGCCTTTGATAAGTATGGCGGTGTTCTAACATTTGGCGAAGGGTGAAGATATGATCAATACATCCTCGACCAGAACGAAACTCAGCCTGATCCTCGCGAGTCAATCTTTCTCGGGTTTTGAACAACCTACGAAGTATGACGGAAGCCAATAGCTTGGACGCAACCGGAAGTAGACTTATCCCCCGATAGTTGTTACAGGAACAACGTGAACCCTTTTTAAAGATAGGGACAATTATCGACTCATTCCATGACGATGGTACACTCTCTAGTTCCCAGACCTTTGTAAACAACAGTCAGTTCCCTAGCCAGAAAGCCACCACCATCTTTAAAAAGATTCGGAGGTAAGTCATCTGGGCACGGTGATTTGTAGCGCTTCAAGAATCGGAGTTCCTTGTGGACTTCCATCCTCGTAGATTGTTTCGCTCACATCAGACTTCTTGCTGCCAGTGGCTAGGATGAGTTGGAAGAGCTTCCGGTAGTTACCAGATGCAGCTGCTGCTTCCAGCTCATAGGCATGCTCCGACCACCAGGCTTCTCGGTCCTTACTCAAGCTTTGCCCGATTTCATTACGTAACATCCTTCGTTTGTGGTCAAACTCACGGTCACCCTGAGTAGACCGACGGGCTTCAATGAGTTGTAAGGAGCCTGAAGAAACCCAGCGCTTATAAGCGGTTCGTTTCGCGAACCCACAACTCTCTTCGCTTTCCATTTTCATGGCGTCATCTAATTGCAACCAAAGCTCATCTATACTTTTCGGTGGGATAGTAGCTAGCCTAGAAGCTAGCTCGGTTCGATACTTACTTGCAACAGAAGTTGCAACCAGCTTGCTATCATCAATCCGTTGGTGGCGGTCACTTTGTTGGCCAGTGAAAAGTAAGATAAGATTGACGCAGACCAAGGCATGGTCAGAGTTCAGATAGGTACTCCAAAAGGAGCAGCAGTCTTGTACACAACCAAGCCAGCGGTAGCTGATCGCTATGTGATCAATCTGAGTCCAGGCTTGAGATGCAGAGGGAGGACGCCAGGTGGCACATCGGCGATGACTGTGCCGAAAGTTAGTGCTAGCCAGAAACAGGTTGTGGTCTGTGCTCAGTTGCAGTAGACGGTCCCCGTTATCTGTCCTGCAACCAGCAAGTCCCCATCGGCCCCCTAAACGACTCTCTTTTGTGCCTAGACACCCGACCTGAGCATTCAAGTCTCCGGCTAGTACTACAATATCTGTCGGACGCACTTTCTGGAGAACAGATGACTGGTGGTAGAATTCATTCTTGATTGCATCCTAGCTGCGATCTTTGGTTGCACAGGCGGAGATGACGAAAACGCATCGTTTCTCACGCCGATTTCTTCTCACATTGATGGAACTTTCTAATCTAACAACACATAACCGACTGTTAATGGAGATGCAATCGATTAGTGCTGCCTCAGCTCTAGCGCTTAGTGCGACACCAACGCCAGCAAGACCAGACGAAGATGCCACAGGGTCACCGGATAAGCGTACGTAAAACAAGCTTTTCGAAGCGACAGATGAAGAGCGAATTTGTAGTACTTCACTAGAGTCTTGAATACGGGTCTCAGATAGACAGCAAACATCGATATTAAGACTTTCCAAAGACCATAGCCAGCCCTATCTGTTATCTAACCTGCATAAGTGTGCGAACGTTGAAAGTAGCCAGTTTGAATGATCCACGTGGTTTCAGAATAACTGCTTCAGTCCTCGTATTCGGTGGTAGCATACAATTTTCAACCAGGCAGTGACTCGAGAACGTTTAGATTAAACCGAGTTTCCACCATAGGCGAGCTGCTGTATAAGTCGAAATATAAGGATACATAAAGTGGGAATAAAAGAAAGTGGATAAATGACGTAGTAAATAATAATAATAATAATAATAATAATAATAATAATAATAATAATAATAATAATAATAATAATAATAATAATAATAATGTGAGTCATTTGATTGTTATTCGGAGCAAGAAGAATATTTTCCATAAATAGACAGTTCATCATTTTTTGTGTGTGGGCTGTGATACTCCCCAGGTGCCCAGACCGAAGCAGGTGGTTTTCTTAGGGGGCCACACCCTGAGCCTTTGATCTAAAGGTCTAACCCACAAGGCAGTGGAGCATCGTGAGAAGATGACGTCCCATCGTAGCCGGTGACCATTATTTAAACTTGGGTTAATTTAATTTGTTTGTTTATTCCTTGAAAAATTGGCTTACATTGAGTCACAAAACGTCCGAAAACCCTATTGTTCTACTTATTGGGATATTACAAACATTTTATTTATGATGTCTTCAATAATTTTTTTAATACTGAGACTTGATTACACCGCATGAAGATTTAAACTCTGATGTGTTTTCTATTAAATCAGTAAATCCTGAACACGAAAAGAAAAGTAAATCCTCAGTTACCCTTTTAATTATATTCCATATATACATAAACTTATAAGAAAATCATCATTTTAGAAATAATTCATTGTTGCGATTTATATAACAAATGAAACTGATGAGTTTTAATCTTGATTATTAACAATGAAGTTTCATATCGTTTAGAAATCTTTATTTTATATTACAATGAATTGATTTTAATACAATAAGTTAATTAAGTAAAATCTTAAGTGTTTACTCAAATATTAAATTCTTTAAAAAGTTACAAATGTTCTTATAAAACATTTTGAAGTACAAACTACAAAATGTTCTAATCTTTATTAAAAGATTAACATAGTATACAGATATATATATATATATATATATATATATATATATATATATATATATATATATATATATATATATAATTACGAATCAATTTAAAGTATTAGTATTAATAAGAACATACTAATGTAATCAAATGTGTAATATCCTAATCTCATAGAATGGATGATTGTTTGAATTTAAAATAAATTCCATGAGACGATTTTTGAGTAACGCTAAGATGACCGTGGGAGTGTCCAACCAATAACTAGGATTAGATGACGGTTATAAACCAATATGAAAGATTAGAATTATGATTTACAATTGATGGTTAAAGTTCTCCACCATCTCAAAATCATATGAGCGTAATACGCTTCTCGTTGTTCGAAAATGGGAGAATTTCGCCAAAAGGCAGGCTTCCACTCAAGAACAACTATATTTTCTCCATGAGTGCCTTCGCCAGCATGTTCTACCAACAAGTGTAAGATATAGACCTCCAATCAACTGCCCATTAGGATGGAGAATAGCCGAGCAAATTGGAAGAAAATTGGTACACCTAATGATAACGGATGCACACTACAGAATCCGCAAATACCAACACGTCATAGAGGACCAAAAGATAAAGCTACAAAGGATGCTCACATCAGAACATTTGTAAATCGTGACAACAGCCATCAAGGTATCATGCAAACGACATAGAGAACAAAGAAGAAACACCTTAAAGAAAAAACTAATCAAGATCTCAAAACCACCCATGAAAGAAAACACAAACAACTGCGTGATCAATCTGTCAAAACAACCACTAACAAATACGGAAGAACACCTGCTCCAAAAAGGATTAAACTACAATACAAGCGACGCCTCCAAGCTGGAGTTCTTCGCAGCACTAGAGTCATCACTCAAAACATCCGGAATCAGTGAAGAAACACAACAGGAAATAAGGCAAACTATAGTACCGATAACTCAACAGGTGAAAGAAAACAACCAACTGACTCCACAAGAACAAAAGGCCTTGAAAGAACTCAGAAATAGAAAAGATATTATCATAATACCAGCGGACAAGGGACGCACCACAGTAATCATGGACAAAGAAGAATACATCAACAAAGCCGAAGAACTACTCAAAGATAAGAGCACATACAAACTGATGGACACAAATCCCGTCAAAAAATTAGACAATCAAATCTCAAAGACTTTAAACAAGCTAGTCAAAGCAGGAGAAATAACAAAACAAGACCAATGGAGAATGAAATCCAGTGGACCAGTACTCCCTCGATTCTACGGTAGACCCAAAATACACAAACCAAACATTCCACTACGTCCAATAGTAGCACTCCCCGGAACGCCAACATACAATTTGTCAAAAGAAATTTCACGAATACTGAGACATCTAGTAGATTCAGCCAAACACTCCATCAAATCCCCAACACAATTCCTGGACCAAATTAAGGATATTCAAATCAACAACGACGAACTCATGATATCCTTCGACGTAACAGCACTGTTCACCTCAATTGAACCACAACTAGCAAAAGAAACTATATCCCTGCTACTCAACAACGACACAAATCTCACCAAATACACGACGCTTCAAATTAAAAGTCTACTGGAACTCATCGATTTATGCCTAACAACATATTTTCAATTCAACAACAAAATCTACGAACAAACAAAAGGGACACCAATGGGATCACCAATATCAGGACTGATAGCAGAAGCAGTGATGCAAAGACTAGAAGCCACGATATTACCAGTGATCAAGCCAAAAGTTTGGATTCGCTACGTAGACGACACCTTTGTCATCGTCAAAAAGGATGAACTGGAAAACACATACAAACTGATCAACAACGTTTTCAACGACATCAAGTTTACAATGGAACAGGAGTCAAACAACCAACTAGCATTCTTGGATATATTGATCACTAGAACCGATACAGGAAAACTGGAGACGCAAGTATATAGGAAACCGACCCATACAGATCAAATCCTCAATTACAACAGCAACAACCCAAGAGCTCACAAAATCAACTGCGTACACACATTGTTCAAGAGGGCGAGGACACACTGCAGCACACTGGCAGCACGAAAAAATGAAGAGAAACACCTGAAGGACATATTTCAAAAGAACGGCTACCCAATCAACTTCATCAAAAAGCACCAACGGCACACAGCATCAGAACCCAAATCAAGCATAAAAATCAACAAAAGGATCACCCTACCGTACATACAAGGAATATCAGAAACCGCAATGAGACGGCTGAAAACCTTCGGGATAGGTGTGGCACATAAACCAACAAAATCATTACAATCAATCCTATGCAAACCAAAAGATGAAATAACAAAGGAAAACAAATCAAACATCATCTACAAAATAAATTGTACCAACTGCGACAAACACTACATCGGACAAAGCGGACGCCCCCTCCACCTACGCCTACATGAACATCAATTAGCAGTCAAACGGCATGATATCTCTTCACTTATATCAATACACGTGGACAACTGCGGACACTCATTCGATTGGAAAAATGCGGAAATCTTAGACAGAGGAAACTCCAAAAACACCAGGGAATTTTTAGAAGCTTGGCACTCAGGTCAATCAGCAATCAACAAACATTGAAGTCAATCCAATTTATCAACCAATCAGGAAAATCATGCATAAATATAGGAAGAAAAATCAAACCAATGGGAGGCACAACCAAAACAAAGAAGTAAACAATGATAAATTTAAGGTCAATAAGAACCAATCAACATCGAGGTGCACAGAACAAGCTGTGAAACACATATGGAGAAATTCGAACACTTCACTTCTATCTGAAGTTTGTGCTGATGATGTCGTTCAGAAGAACGATGAAAGCTCCACGACCAAACCATCCAGCTCAAAGAACAAAACTCTATCAAAATGGTTAAAGTTAGGAATTTAGGATTTTCATCACGAACTGATTCGTTATCTTAAATCTGATTGGTTCGTCCATAAATTATAGTCTCACCATAGTGTATATTGATGATATGGTGTAGGCTACTTATATGCACATAGGTAGTATACAACGATAGTCAACAATAGAATATATTTCAGTAGAAGATCGAGAAGGAAAGAAAGAGAACGGAAAGCAATTGTTATGAAAATGCAGAAATTATGAAATCTGAGACGATGAATTGATGTTTGTAAAAAAAAACAGTTAAGTTCGAGATAATAGATTGATATTTTGCAAATTAATGATTTACTATATGGCTCACAAATTTTAGTGAGATATTCTTTAATTTTGTGTTCAAATACATTCGGTTGTCCTCACTGTGTGCTCTTGTTCGCTACAATGATACTTATTAGATTTTTCTAAACTATTTAATTATATGAATTATTTTTATTCATTAATAAATATTTTAATTATTTAATAAATTCAATTTTAAAAGTACCTACGACAGTTGAGATCATGAGTCAATTGAAGCTAGACCACCATGGAAAACCTGGAAGCACTGGGAGACCATTTCGTCCTATTGTGGGACTCCTCAGCAGTGCGCACCCACGACCCCTCTTCGCGGGATTCGAACCCAGGACCAACCAGTCTCGCGCCAGGCGCTTAACGAACTAGACCACTGAGCCTGCCTCTAACGACCTTAATGTCTAACTTCAACTAATCCACAAAACTGAGCGACACATCTGTCATTGTCATCAGTGAGTTACTATCTCACAACAGACCCGGCTGAACTCCACTGGTCTCTACTCCTGACTAGAACTCCAGGATATACCTAGCTTCAATTGACTCATGATCTCATCTGCTGAAATTACTACAATCTTCACAAAACCCTTTCTGATATTAAAAAGTGTCATTATTTTAACGATTTATCATTTATTTTTTGTTGTTTATTTTGTTTTATTTTTTAAAAATTAGAAAAATGATATTGTTGAAGTACATTTTGTCACTGCTTCACCACGTATTAATGTACTTTTAAATGGAACATATCTTACTATTGAATTATATAACAAAACATTAAATAAATGGAATATTCTGTATACAGATGCTAATTGGGAAACAAAGTATGTAGTTCTTTTTATATATTTTTTATCAAGTTTTTTGAATAAACATTTCTTATATGTTTATAGTATTTTCTCAAAAATCTTATTTCAAGTAAATTATGAAGTAGTAATACTTCATCATTTCAGATGGCTTGGACATGTGTTACGTATGCCCAAACACCGACTGCCCCGACGTGCGATGTTTTATGGTGTAGGAGTAGGTTGGAAGAAAGATAGGGGCGGCCAGACCAAAACGTGGCACAAATACACGAAGTCACCGACAAGTGGATTGAGTCATGTTGATAGGTGTAAACTACCTGGATCCGCGTGATGATAGCAACCGATAGTCAGGAACCCTGAATAACATGGCTCAAAATTGTCTGCAATGGCGCAAGTGCATCTACTCTTTGTGTTCTCCCAAATTCTAATCTTTTGAATTCTTCATGTCCCTTTCCTTTTTCTCTTTCTAAATTTATTTCACTGGATTATACTCCTAGAGTAACATCTTCAAACCCTAATGTTTCCGATTACTGCTTATACTCTTACTACCTCTACCACTACAGGATTTCAATCGACAACTGCATCTCTGTGCTAATGTGGTGTGGCAACTCGAACTGATGTACGTACGTACGAAGTTCTACGTTGTTACTGACTGATATTGAGTTGGAGGTGCTGTATTCTCTAAGCCTAATTGTTTTTTATATTTAATCGAAAAATCTTACCTGTTTTCAATCAAATTTTTTTGCGATTAACTAAAGCGTAATTTTAAATATGCGTTACAAGAAATAAGAAAAAGAATTCATTCTTCCTCAATAATAAATGTATACTTGTTTAAAGTATGTTACCATTATGATTTGAATTTAAAGAAACAGTTATTGTAAATTATTTAACTTTGGACACCTATTTTATAATGACAGAACAGCTCAGTAATGGATGTTTTCGATTCTGTCAGAAATTCAACTCATGTACTGCATATTGAACAATTATTATAATCTTCTGTTTTAAAAAAATGGTGATATTTGTTTTACATCATAACCAGACTTTAGTTAGATATTTTTGAGAGTCAAAAAGTAATGAGAAGTTGTTTAATACTAGTATGAGACCCCTCAGTAGTTCACATATATGACCACACCACGGATTAATATCTAAACTCTTGGGCTTAAAAGAATGTACTTAATGTCTATATTACCAAGTCAAATGGTATTTATGTCTAACTTCTATAAATTTACGACCGACGTTTAATATGCTTACTGGTTAACTGCCTCATACTCGATATTACTGGACTGTAAATGTAACAGTCTCCATAAACTCCTTGTACTAATAGTTATAGCATACTAATTATAAAGGTTCTTAATGACAAATATTCAATCATGCTGCATATGAAACAGTTACCAAACCCACTAGAATTTGATCGAGCAGAATAGAAAACTTACTAAAGTTAAACATATAAACTATTTAATGCTGACTTGGTGGTATAGATACTAAGTGAATTCTTCAAGCCTCATGAGTTTCAAGTTCAATCCGTAGTATGGACATGAGTATCCCGTATTGAAGAGTCTAATACTAGTATCAAACAGCTTTTAACTGCTTTCTGGCTTTTAAAAATTGTTTAACCGAAATTGAAACGTGATATAAAGTATCAAATTCAACAGTCTCCATAAACCCATCGCATAGTGTTGGTTAATTTTGCTTGACGGTGCCTTATATTTAGCTATCCTTTTTGTTTAATTCATTAATCAAAGTTTAGTTAGGATATAATTTACATTCTTCCTATTTTTTAACTGTCCTCTTAAAGCATGATCCATTATTTTCTAATTTAAGGAGGTTATATGTGTGGTAACACCTATATATGACAATCTAAAGTGAAAAATCGAAACATGACGTCAGTAAATTTAACTTGTTGGTTAGACTATACTTAGTATAATTCTACATACATCTCTGTTAATTTTATTCACATTATAAATGTTATTCTTTACTTAACATAAAGAAACCTCATCCTTCATACTATATGAAATAAATAACCATATTTTATTCAAATGAAAAACAAACAGTAGACAATTTTATAAGTCAAAATTCAATTTTAATGAGTTTTAAACTTTGAAATAGTTATTACAATTTAATTTGTTTCAATCTATAAACTACAGATATTTAATCAGAGTAAACAAATCACATTGATAGTGATTTGATTGACACGATTATGAATTAAATATTTATCATATTATTTGGGGTGAGATATGAATTCTAACTAATAAATATCTTAATAGTTGAATTCATAAGTTGATTTAAGCTAAGCTGCCAGTGAAAACCTGGAAGCACTGGACAGCTGTTTCGTCTTAGTATGAGAGTCCTGAGAAGAACTCATCCACAATAGCGTAGGTTGGATTCGAATCCAGGACTTTTAATCTCTCATGCAAACGCTTGACTTCTAAGCCACTAAGCTAGCATTCAACGGGGTTAAATACGTATTGATAATTAGTAGCCGGTGACAGATAACTTGCTTTTGTTTTTATAAAAGTTCTCAATAATATTACACAAAGATCTGTGAATTTTTTAAGATTATTTAAAAAATTGTTTTACATTATATATGACAATTAATTCAGAGCCTTCTATTGTTTATATTGTTTTCTGGAATCATTTTTGTCATTTCGTTGACATAGAAAAATATAGTTAATTTTTTACGTAAATGCACTTGACCCATAGTCCTACAATAAGTTTTGTTATATTTTTTGGAAGTTCAGTAGTCTGGATGTTTTCTTCGTAATATTTGATGGATTAATTATTATATTTAGTGTTGAATTTTTAACTGAAATATACTTTTTGTCTTTTTATTTTTGGCTACTTATAAGTAGCCAAAATTCGTCTTCCACATTTTCTATCATTTGTCGAACTACATCCTCAATATTAGTTGAATTTATGAGCCATGTTTTCTTCAGGTGTATGCCAACAAATGTTAACCTGAAATTTTGTATTTGTTTCGTGATGGTTTTAAAGGTGAGTAGACAATAAAATACTATTTAGTTAACTGAAGTTTAAGAATTAAAAATCTATTTCCTCCCGTTATTTGTAATACCAAACACCAGTGATCTCAAAATGATCGGTTGTATGAAATACTTGCTTTAGAAATGCATGTGCCACACTGTAGTACTGAGTAGTTGAAATCGAACTGTAGAAAACCCTTTATTTATTCTACTTGAAAAATTGTTTTTTATATAATAAGTTGACGTAATTTGAATGAATATAACCAAATTTAAACTTCCTCATCTCTATGTGTTAGGCTTTCTCCACGTATTGATTATTGTTTCTCTCATGTCATAGACATGTTCTGATCTTACTAGCCAATCGTGTAAAGTTGAAACTAAATTCATATAATGTTCTAGATACATTTAATTTCTGTAAAACAACATTGCGTATGTGTATAATGCATTTCCATCTCACTGTATACACAACAATATACATTTGGTTGAACTGTAAGATGTTTTATCATTCCTAATCACTTGATGCTATCGGTAAACTACAATAATATATCAGAATATATGCTATCAGGAAACAATATTCAGTGTATAAAACGATGTATTGAGCATAGGAATAAGCGTAAATTGATTCCATGGAGATCCTCTACAACTCAATAATCGGTTGTTGACCCAGTAATTCACAATGCATATTGGATTTTTCTGTTTGTTTCATAGGACTTGTGTTCTTATCTATAATAAATTTAAAGCAAAGTGTGACTTAAAGATAAATTTTTCATTTGTATAATCACTTAGTTGTCATTATTGAAATATCCACTTTTTGAAATATTTTGAGATAACTAAAAGAATGTAATTATTTGGCAATACGATTTTCAAAGTATTACATTTCGCAAATTCAAATTTTGGCTAACTTTCCCGACAACATCAACACTGTACACTTTAAAAAAGGGACGTTAGTTACTTCATGAAACATATCTCAATGGACGAGTATTATTTTTTGTCGTTAAGCGTACATTTCACTTTGTTTCTATCTGTTTCGTATGCATTAATTTATGTAGTCACTCAATGTATTTGATAAAAATCTTATATATTTTACGTTATCTATCAAAGGTCATTGGCCCCAAATGCCCTGGTACGGCCGAGAGTAAAGAATGTCCGCTCTCCCTCTCGTAATGCTTTCACATGGCCAAGCGTATATAGCCTCTGTCAGGGAAGTCCTACACACTGCCTTCTCGCAGAACTGATGTTTTATACGCAAGTGATAGTATGAAAAGCGAATGTCCAGTGCTTTAACCAGGTTGGTGGACACGGAAAGTCTACCTAGGAGAGTTGAAAAACTCTGATTCCAAATCACTGGTGCACATGGGCTTCAGTATCCTGAAGGAACAAATGGCGTATAAACCAATCGTTGGTCACCGGGTACCATGAAACTATATGCACTACCTTGTGGATTAGACATTAAGGTCAAAGTCTCCGAGTGCGGCTCCTTAAGAAAATCACCTACTTCGATCTGGGCACCCAAACAGTATTCCAGCTCTCACATAAATCAAATGATTTATGTGGCGCATATCTATTCAATGCCTCTTTTTATCAATGTTTGTGTGTTTAAATAAATAAATCAATCAAAAGTCATTAAAGAGACTTTTATAACATTTTATTTTCCGAACTTCCTTTTCCTGATATATCAATTTATTTTTAAATATTCTTAATCGATGACATAATTTTCATAACATAATTATTATATAATGTTTCAAAATTACACTACAAATAAAGAAAAAGCAATCATTAACTCAAGAGATGATATATAGAATATTATATTTAGAACGAATTAAATAAACGTTTCAATGTTTCACTTCATGCTTTCAAACAAATTTAATAAAATAATAATCATACACTGAATTCATTTGTTTCTAATAATGATTATCATATATCTTTTATGACCTGTATTAATTTTGAATAAAATATGAATCTATCAGTCTTTGATTGATTGATTTATTTTACCAATAAATTTTAATCGATTTATTTAATTTTAGTTTCTACTTTTTAATAATT